TAGACCAAACACCCATGCAAGCGAGAATCATACCACTAGACCAAACACCCATGCAATTATTGATTCCACGTTGAGAATTGAGGTGAAAAACGGTGAGGGGTGTTGTGAAAATTGAACTAAAGGTCTTGCACCCGAAACAAGAATCATACTACTAGACCAAACACCCAATTGATTGCATATGCATGAGTTTGATTTGCTGTAATTAATACAATAAAGTGAGGGGTGTTGTGAGAATTAAACTCACGACCTCTCGCACCCAAAGCGAGAATCATACCACTAGACCAAACACCCAAGTGATTATTGATTCCACGTTGTGCATTGAGGTGAAAAAGGGAGAGGGGTTTTGTGAGAATCAAACTCACGCCCTCTTGCACCTAAAGAAAGAATCATACACTAGACCAAACACCCAATTGATTGTTGATTTCACGTTGAGCATTTAAGCAAATAAAGCCTAACACTAGTTTGGTTAATTATTGAGAAGAAAGATTGAGAGATTGCTTATTATATATGCATGAATTTGATTTGATGTAAGCAATTAAATACGGTGAAAGATTGACAGATTGCTTATTATATATGCATGAATTTGATTTGATGTAAGCAATTAAATACGGTGATGGGTGTTGTGAGAGCTCTCGCACGCAAAGCGAGAATCAAACATTCAAACCACTAGATCAGACAGGGGTGTTGTGAGAGTTCTCGCACGCAAAGCGAGAATCAAACCAGTGGACCAGACACCCAAGTGATTGTTGTTTCCACGTTGATCATTGAGGTGTTAAAAGGTGAGGGGTGAGGGGTGAGGTGTTAAAAAGTGAGGGGTGTTGTGAGAATTAAACTCACAACCTTTTGCACCCAAAGCAAGAATCATACCACTAGACCAAACACCCAATTGATTATTAATTTTACATTGAACATTTAAGTAACTAAAGCCTAATACTAATTTGGTTAATTATTGAGATGAAAGAGTGAGAGTTTGCTGATTGTATATGCATGAATTTGATTTGCTGTAAACAATTAAATAGGGTGAGGGGGGTTGTGACAATTAAACTCACAACCTCTCGTGATTGTTGTTTCCATGTTAAGCATTGAGGTGAAAAAAAGGTGAGGGGTGTTGTGAGAATTGAACTCACGACCTCTTACACCCAAAGCAAGAATCATACCACTAGACCAAACACCCAATTAAAATTGGATATTACATTGAGCAACTAATGTCTAACACTTGTTTGTTTATTTATTGAGATGAAAGAGTGATAAATTGCTGATCGTATATTCATGAGTTTGATTTGCTGTAAGCAATTAAATAGGGGGAGGGGTGTTATGAGAATTAAACTCATGACCTCTTACACCCAAAGCGAGAATCATACCACTAGACCAAACACCCAAGTGATTATTGATTCCACGTTGAGCATTGAGGTGAAATGATGTTGTGAAAATTGAACTCACGACCTCTTGCACCCGAAACAAGAATCATAATAATAGACCAAAAATCCAAGCGATTGCTAATTCCACGTTGAGCATTGAGGTGAAAAAAGGATAGGTGTGTTGTGAGAATCAAACTCATGACCTCTTGCACCAAAAGCAAGAATCATATCACTAGACCAAACACTAATTTGGTTAAATAATTGAGATGAAAGAGTGAGAGATTACTGATTGTTGTATATGCATAAGTGTAATTTTTTGTAAGCAATTAATCAAGGGTGAGGGGTGTCGTGAGAAATGAACTCACGACCTCTCACACCCAAAGCGAGAATCATACCACTATACCAAACACCCATGCAATTATTGATTCCACGTTGAGAATTGAGGTGAAAAACGGTGAGGGGTGTTGTGAAAATTGAACTAACGGCCTCTTGCACCCGAAACAAGAATCATACTACTAGACCAAACACCGAATTGGTTGCATATGCATGAGTTTGATTTGCTGTAATCAATATAATAAGGTGAGTGGTGTTGTGAGAATTGAACTCACGACCTCTCGCACCCAAAGCAAAAATCATACCACTAGACCAAACACCCAAGTGATTATTAATTCCACGTTGTGCATTGAGGTGAAAAAGCGAAAGGGGTGTTGTCAGAATCAAACTCACGACCTCTTGCACCCAAAGAAAGAATCATACACTAGACCAAACACCCTATTGATTGTTGATTTCAAGTTGAGCATTTAAGCAAATAAAGCCTAACACTAGTTTGGTTAATTATTGAGAAGAAAGATTGAGAGATTGCTGATTATATATGCATGAATTTGATTTGATGTAAGCAATTAAATAGGGTGAGGTGTTTCATGTAAGCGAATCAAACATTCAAACCACTAGATCAGGGGTGTTGTGAGAGTTCTCGCGCACGCAAAGCGAGAATCAAACCAGTGGACCAGACACCCAAGTGATTGTTGTTTCCACGTTGATCATTGAGGTGTTAAAAGGTGAGGGGTGTTGTGAGAATCGAACTCACGACCTCTTGCACCCGAAGCAAGAATCATACCACTAGACCAAACACCCAATTGATTATGGATTTTACATTGAGCATTTAAGTAACTAAAGCCTAATACTAGTTTGGATAATTATTGAGATGAAAGAGTGAGAGATTGTTGATTGTATATGCATGAATTTGATTTGCTTAAACAATTAAATATGGTGAGGGGTGTTTTGAGAATTAAACTCACAACCTCTCCTGATTGTTCTTTCCATGTTAAGCATTGAGGTGAAAAAAATGTGAGGGGTGTTGTGAGAGTTGAACTCATGACCTCTTGCACCCAAAGCAAGAATCATACCACTAGACCAAACACCCAAGTAAAATTGGATATTACATTGAGCAACTAGTGTCTAACACTTCTTTGTTTATTTATTGAGATGAAAGAGTGAGAAATTGCTGATCGTATATTCATAAGTTTGATTTGCTGTAAGCAATTAAATAGGGGGAGGGGTGTTATGAGAATTAAACTCATGACCTCTTACACGCAAAGCGAGAATCATACCACTAGACCAAACACCCAAGTGATTATTGATTCCACGTTGAGCATTGAAGTGAAAAAAGGTGAGGGATGTTGTGAAAATTGAACTCACGACCTCTTGCACCTGAAACAAGAATCATACTAATAGACCAAAAACCCAAGCGATTGCTAATTCCACGTTGAGCATTGAGGTGAAAAAAGGACACGCAAAGCGAGAATCATACCACTAGACCAAACACCCAAGTGATTATTGATTCCACGTTGAGCATTGAGGTGAAAAAAGGTAAGGGATGTTGTGAAAATTGAACTCACGACCTCTTGCACCTGAAACAAGAATCATACTAATAGACCAAAAACCCAAGCGATTGCTAATTCCACGTTGAGCATTGAGGTGAAAAAAGGATAGGTGTGTTGTGAGAATCAAACTCATCACTAGACTGGTTAAATTATTGAGATGAAAGAGTGAGAGATTGCTGATTGTTGTATATGCATAAGTGTGATTTGTTGTAAGCAATTAATCAAGGGTAAGGGGTGTCGTGAGAATTGAACTCACGACCTCTCGCACCCAAAGCAAGAATCATACCACTAGACCAAACGTCCATGTGATTATTGATTCCACGTTGAGAATTGAGGTGAAAAACGGTGAGGGGTGTTGTGAAAATTGAACTAACAACCTCTTGCACCCGAAACAAGAATCATACTACTAGACCAAACACCCAATTGATTGCATATGCATGAGTTTGATTTGCTGTAAGCAATACAATAAGGTGAGGGGTGTTGTGAAAATTGAACTCACAACCTCTTGCACCCAAAGCAAGAATCATACCACTAGACCAAACACCCAAGTGATTATTAATTCCACGTTGTGCATTGAAGTGAAAAAGGGATAGGGGTGTTGTGAGAATCAAACTCACGACCTCTTGCACCCAAAGAAAGAATCATACACTAAACTAAACACCCAATTGATTGTTGATTTCACATTGAGCATTTAAGAAAATAATGCCTAACACTAGTTTGGTTAATTATTGAGATGAAAGATTGAGAGATTGCTGATTATATATGTATGAATTTGATTTGATGTAAGCAATTAAATAGGGTGAGGGGTGTTGTGAGAGCTCTCGCACGCAAAGCGAGAATCAAACCACTGGACCAGACACCCAACTGATTGTTGTTTCCACATTGAGCATTGAGGTGTTAAAAGGTGAGGGGTGTTGTGAGAATCGCACTCACAACCTTTTGTACCCAAAGCAAGAATCATACCACTAGACCAAACACCCAATTGATTGTTGATTTCACATTGAGCGTTTAAGTAACGAAAGCCTAACACTAGTTGGGTTAGTATTGAGATGAAAGAGTGAGAGATTGATGATTGTATATCCATGAATAATCTTTTTTTTTTTTTTTTTTACCAGCGGCAGTGTGGAGCAACCTCTCAAAGTGAGTGGGGTTCCTTGTGCGCAGTGAGCACGGTCTAGCCTCTGTGGTTCGTGTTCTATTGAGTTACCATGATTTACATCATTCCAAATGCTCTGTCGGGTCGGGGTGTGGGGGACCCTTAGGGTTGGGGTTCAGCCTTTGGAAGAATGAATTATCTTTTTTTTTTTCTTTTAAATGTTCCATTTGTTTATTAACATTTCCCAATATGATTTTAACAAGTTTTAAAGCATGTGAGAATTCAACTTACATTACATTAATTGATAATAATTTTAAAAAGTTAAATTAAAAATGTTTCAAATACACGCTTAAACTAGAAAACAAAAGTGTATGACACTATTTACTCTTTAAATTGTCATTTAAAAAAAAATACTGGCATGTTCTCAAAAAGAAAGCTGAATGCAGACCCACTTTAATAAATTTATAAATTTATAAATAAATAAATAAACTGTCTGTTATATTTTAGCCTATTTTCGATTCTAATTTTTAAAAAATCCCAATTTTCATTTCAAAAAGTTGCCAAGTAATAAAATCCTCTAGAACTAAACATCCAACAAATCTGAATCTTCTATTGCAGAATAACTTCTTAAACCCAAAAAAAAAAGGTTAAAATAAGGGCAGATTAGGCAGAAAGGTTGTGCTTGTGCTTGTGCATGTGCATCAAATTCACAGCCAGCATTCCTCCACAATATACCCAAATTACACTGAGATATTGTAGTACTAAAAATAACTGATTTTACACTACTTAATAGTTCATATTGAGTTTTCTTCCCACAAAAGAAAAGCAACAAAAATTCCTCAGGTTTTCTTCTGCCAAGCTATTTCTCAAGCATGATGCCATTTCAGTTGAATACACGTCCTCTCTCTTTGCATGATAAATTTCCAGGCTCCTGCAATTAATGATTGCTTGTGATGGATAGAAGAAGTGGACCAAGACCTCAATCTAGCATGACATGTTACTGTGTAATGTCCTCGTCAACTCTACGCCTTCTACCTCCTCCATCACAAGCATCATCAATTTTTGCACTTCTCTTTCCATGATCTCGCTCTTGTTCTCTTCCTTTGCGCCCAAAATCATCTCGTCCTTTCTCATCATACTCTTTCTTATCCCCCTTGTCCCTATGCCTAGTACCATCTGCATGCCTCCCATCATACTGTATCTCATCTTTCCTGGCCTTCTTTACAGTCTCTTGTTCATCCCGCCTAGTACCATCTGCATGCCTCCCATCATACTGTATCTCATCTTTCCTGGCCTTTTTTACAGTCTCTTGTTCATCCCGCTTATCATGCCTAACATCATCTGCATGTCTTCTATTGTACCCTTCCTCCTTTCTCCTATCCCTCTTTTCATGTTCTCTCTCATCCCTCTTATCTTTGTGTGCAACACCATTGTCCCTCCTTCTGTCATTCACTCCCTCATCTCTCCTATCCCTGTGGCTACTATCTGTTTTCCTTCTATGATCAGAATCATTTCTTGCCCTGAGATCTCTATCCCTTTCACCACGTGATGGGCTTGCTCTACTTTTGTCATTCACTGTGTCATCTCTCCTTTCCCTGTGGCTATGATCTGCTTTCCTTCTATGATCAGAATCATTTCTTGCCCTGTGATCTCTATCCCTTTCACCACGTGACGGGCTTGCTCTACGTCCTGTATACTTGTGGTCTCTGTGGGATCTCTCCTTTTCATCACCAAATGGGCTTCCCCTGTGATCTCTCTCCCTTTCACTGCGTGATGGGCTTGCCCTACTTCCTCGATACTTGTCTTCTCTATTTTCCTTACTTCTGTGCCCATGTCCATATCGATCATGCAGCTCTCTCTTTCCGTTATCTCGGTCGAAGTGTTCATCTGAACCCCTACGTTTAACATTCTGTTTGCCATCATCTTTTTCAGCTCCATAATCCTGTTGTCTTTTATTTCCTCTTGGACTACCACCAGCATCTTCATCAAATACCATTTCAAACCTTGAAGAGATTTATAATAAATGTACTGTGTTAGAAAGGTAGTAGAGGAGATGGACAAATACTTTGTTGGTAACACATTTGTCTTACTAACCTCGAGTTATCATCTCCACCATGCTGCCTGTTATCTTCTTTAAGTATGTATTTTGGATGATGTTGTTGGGTAGATTGCGCTGTGCAGTCTTTAGCAATGTGATCAAGGGAGCCACACTTAAAGCAACCTCCTCCTGCATTGGAAAACAAATATTTGTAACCTTGAAAGAATGGAAACTCAAAAGGGTAAAAACTAAAAATTAAATCGTTAGTGGTAAAGGACTTCATAACTTCAGTATTATCTCATTATCACATAGTCTTGATTGAAGTCTTATGATATGAAAGATGATTTATAGTTTCTAACCATCTAAGCTCCTTTTTTGGGTGACGAGAGAACCCACGGCCACTACCCGAGAGTGTGCACTAGGTAAACCCCGCCTTGTGACCCTAGTCGCAAAGGACCACAAGGAGGTAAACTAGCCTAGGTTGCCTATAGTTGACAGACTCAAACCAAGAAGGCTAATAGACTGATCCCACTGGGAGTCAAACTTGTAGCCTTGTGGTTAAGGCAAGTATACGGCCCAGAGAAGTATAAATGAAATTGACAAAAACCGCTAATTTCTTATTCAATACTTCCAAGCCAAGCTCAGGTTTCCTAAACAGCTTGGTCAATCTCTAGTCTCTACCTGTCCTGTAGAGTGTGGCCCACACCTGGGTATAAGTAATGTGAGAGACAACTTGATGACCTTCAATCCCATTACTAAAAGATTAATAAGACTACTTGGCTTCAGATGCAAACCATTTCAATAGAGATAAGAATGCCATTGCCAGAGACAATATTGCAAAAAACAACAATCTGACCTTTACCCATCTGATCCTTGCGGTTTCTATACTGGAACCAATATTTTGCAACACTTTGACTGAAATCAACATGAATCCTTCTATCATCAATTAGAGCATTATCCATCTATCAATGTAGCAAATTGTTAGTTATAGAAACCAGGGCTCTCCCACCAAATTCAAATCACTAATACAATTAGAAAGGAGATCAAGAAAAGATAAATTACAGTATTTATATAAAACTTTACAACTATACAAAATAGAAAAATTGAATCATTAAGTGGCAAGAAAAGTTTGCACAAGTGTCTTCCTTGACATTAGTGGGAATTCAAAAGTGGGAGAGAAGAAGACATGTCAAACAAACCTGTCGATTCAGTTCAAAGAGCACTGGGTGCCATGTTTAGGTTTGAAATGCTTCAAAAACATATAGATTTTTTCAAGTATTTTGTGAGTTGTATGCAGTCTGTATATGATGTAGGGCAGTAAAGAAGATTTTTAAGCTAAAAATTGGAAAACCAATATGGGCCAGGATAGTTCTTATGATTATAATGTGCGCCAAGAAATAAGAATGCATGGAATGTGGAAGTACAACACCAAGATAAGAGCAAAAGTTAGAACCATACAGATGACTATTTCAGACATTTTAATTAATAGGGATCAATAAGCACATTTAAAAAAAAAAAAAAAAAAAAAAAAAAAAAAAAAAAAAAAAAAAAAAAAAGAGGTCATATGAATTTGTATATTACCTTATAATATGCTTGTTCACAGGCTTCTTTGTCCTCAAACTCTAGCGAAACAACAAACCACGCGGTGAATATGTATAAAAGGGCAAACTTATCCTTAAGAATCCTAGCAAAAGAATGTTAGAGGATGTATCACAGGGATTCACAAGACACAAACATAAATGAAAACATATAGTTTGTAGCCCCACCCCACACAGAAAGAATCATTATCTAGTTAAGTAACCACAAGTGCTTCTGCAGAGAAACTCACCAATAAAAGCATAGCACAAACTATCTCCAGTCTTGTAATCTCTTATTATTTCAGCACTGGTGACATTGATGAATGATCAGAAATATGTTAGAATTGAAATTCAAACAGCAACCCAGAGTGCCAGGGGTGGGAGTCAGGGAGTGTGAGCAGCAGTCAAAAGGAACTTACGAAGTCACTGTTCCAAAACGTGAAAAGATAGTATACAGGTCTTCATCCTGCAAGTGTGTATGATGTAGTACATTTAGTCCTCCGAATGAAATTGTAGGAACTTCTGAAGAGCATATACAAAACAAGAATGATATAGAAACTCACTTCAGTTACTGGGTTTAATTTACAAACGAAGAGCACGTTATCAGGAGGTTTTATCTCAGCATCAGGAATATCCCCTATCTGTAATGCAAGAAGATAGGATATTAGGATTCATAACTTTTTAACAAGAAAATGTTGAACTCATTTTTAATTGCTAAGTGAATACTTACACTTTCGAGCACAACTGCACGAGAATGAGCTTCCTTTGCACGCAGAATCTCCTCAAGTTCTTGAGTTCCTAGTTTCTCATCCATAGGCACCCAGTCATCCTCCAGACGCACATCATCATCAACCTAAGCAGATTGGATAGTATGAATCATTCTGGCCTTTTAGAAACTTATTTTAAGTGGGACATTCAATATTAAAGTTTAAGCTCTGTTGTCTTATGTTTTAATGCCTAACTCTAACCTCAGTTGAACTCACCAAAACATGAAGAGTGGCACAACATTAACAGTACAAGCAGAAAAAATAATATTAAAATAATCATGGAATGAATAACAATGCGTTTAGCAATGAAGCAATTTCTATTCTTTGCGACCACCTTGATGCAAATATCAGTAGTCTAGAACACTAGTAACCGAGAGCTATACATGATTTAAAAGAAAAAGGTGAAGATATACAATCATTACCTCATCTTTTGGTTTCCCATCTGGAGAAGCATCTGGAATCAACTCAACCAGTTCTGGTGGATCATCAAAAGGATCATCCAGTATGTAAGTGTGTTTGACTCTGAAAATAGAGATTTGTCAGCTAGAAGGAAAGATTAAATCTTATCTTATAGGATAGGAAAAGAGATAACTAGATAAGTTCTGTTCAGTGACTACAGACCGGATGTTTTTGAATGGTCGTCCCTTCTCATCTATAAAAGCTTCGTTTATCCTATCTAGTGTATCAATTCCTTCTGCCACCTCTCCAAAAACCTGCCAGGTGAAAGAATGCATTATCATTGATAATTGATATCATAACAAGTAAACAAAAATATTTCTGTGCACACTAGGATATGCCAATAAAATGTGAAGCCGGTAAAGATGGCAATGCATACATGCTAGCACACACACATTATATAGAGAAAAAAAAGGTCAAAAGAAGTGATGGAATGCTCTGAACTAAAGTGAATTTTTATGAGAACTCACAGTGTGCTTCCCATCAAGATAGTCCAGATCATCGCGCAGCGTGATATAGAACTGGAAACAATGAAACGGAACATAATTACATAGAAGATTTATAAAACAAATCCATCTCAGAAAAGATCTCGGTTAAGAAGTTTCAGAGGAAAACTATAGTCATTGGTGGCTACAAATATCCCCCAAACAAATTTATAGCAAATTAAATAAAAGGCACATGCCTAGACTATCAAAGAGTCCCACAGTATATGGTGCAGTACCTGAGAAGCATTAAGATTCTCCCCACCACTAGCCATGGCAACAGTTCCCTTCTTAGAATGCTTCAAATCCAAATGAATTTCATCACCAAAGAACCGAGCCTGATCACCGTACAAAAATCTGGAACAGCATAATGTAGAGTAGAAGCTCAAAGTAAAGGACTATTCTATGTTCAAATATATCTACAATCCATATCTACAAATTAAAGAATGGAGCAAAATCCTAGCTATCACTTGAACAGGGTATGAAGCTTTATAAGATGTAAATTGGCACCATAATAAATTTCCAACTTACTTGTAAACTGAATCACCACCAGAACCAGTTCCAGTAGGATCACCTGTCTGAGCGGTGAAATCCTTTTGAACTGTGTGAAATAGACAGCCATTATAATACTTGATCCTACATCACAACAGAGGGGAAATTAGCCAGTTAAAAGACAAACTCACAAACTACTTAGCTATAAATTGACCAAAGGGGAACATTTTCTCAAAGTAATGTCCTTCCTCGAACTCCGAATCTTATAAATAAATTAAGAGAAGTCCTTTTTTAAGCACAATTATTTGAATCTGTACAGAATTTGATCGACTTCTAATGCGCTTTTTTGAACATTTATGGAGTAATAAGGCAAAACATTCTAAATAATCTGCGTTTACAAACCATAAGAGATTAAAAGAGAGTAGGGGAAGAGAAAGCATAGTTAGCATATGAATATACTTGCACAGCTTCAGAAAGTTTTTGCACGTCAAAGGACAACGATCGGTGAACAAATCCACAACCAAGTCGCCCAAGCTCGTCACTATCATCACCGACATTGTGGGCGATGGAGAAATGAAGATTGAGGGCTTTGGAAATTAGAATTTCGGGGAATTTCTTCGTCGCAGAGATGATCCTTTCTTCTTTTTTTTTTTTTACCTTTGTGGTGTTTTGTGCTAGGGCCAGAGGAAGAACAAATGAACAATAAAGAAAGCGGGTCAGGCCTAGGACGGTGGGCCATTAATGGGCTTCAGGCCCTGCCATTTTTTTTCCTTTTCTTTTTCCTCTTAAGAAACGATAAATAAATTTCATATATTAAAAACAAAAAAAACTTACAAAATCAAAGTTTGGGCTGCCTTCACAAGATCATCAGTCATCAGCAATGTTGTAAAAATCGCACCATAAAAATCGCATCAAGCGTTTGGTCATGTTGAAGAAGGCCGAAATCGGTCTTCTTCACGACCGGGCACCTAGGTGGCCGGCTAGGAAATCTAGGCGACACCTAGACCACTTAGCCGACCAACTTTGATTGTACGTCAATTTTTTTTTAGTGTTATTCACTTAAAACGATGTCTTTTTAAGTGAATAATTCTATAAAAAAAAATATCACAGTTTATAGTCGCCAGACGCGAACAACTCTCCTTCGCTCCGCTAGTCAGCTTAGACGCCACTCGCCAGACGGTCGGTCGCCGCCTCGCCCTCGCTGCTGCAAGTAAGTTTTTTTACTTTTTCTTTTCTCGAATTGGACATTTGGACTTGAGGCGGGTGGGTTGTGGATGTGGAATGTAGAATACAAAATTTCATTTTCATTTTCCTTTTTCATTTTCCATTTTCCATTTTGACCATTTACCGTGTGTATTGTAATTTGTGTATAGTGTCATTAGTGTGTCTATATGTATTTGACATTTAGTGTGTATTGTCATATTGTGTAATTGTGTTTTGTGTATAGCACACTAGCACTATAGCGTATTAGTGTATTAGACTATTAGTGAATATTTGACATTATTTATATCGCTTGTTAGCTTTATAAGTGTTATAAGTGATTAAGTGTATTATATTGTATTTGTATAGGATTGATTTATTTGATTATTGAGGCATTTGAATTGGTTCTTGAATCTTGAATTGGTTGTATTTGGATCTTGTCTTCTTTAATTAGTTGTACTAGTATTTGTCCTGTGCGATGCACGGAAAATATGTTATAAAAATATACCCTATATGAGGTTTATTCATATATGAATTAATTTCACTTTTGGTCCCACGACTTTTGAGTTCTTATCACCTTTGGTGCACAACTTTAAATTTTTTCAATTTTGGTGCCTAACTTTGTTATTTTTATCAGTTTAGGTCCTTCTAGCCAAATTGAAGGTAAAATATTTCCAGATTTTATATTTTAGGGGCAAAATCGTCATCCCATGGAAAGATCTTCAATATTTAAACAAAAGAAAAATCATATTAAGAGGAAAAGAAGAGTTTGCCAATGGTCGAAACTATAAATCCCATAGATCTGTCTGGTTTCTGCCCATCTTCCCCATTATTCTCATCATCAAACACCTATAGATATAATTTTACGGTGATTTTGTTTAGATATTGAAGATATTTCCTTGGGATGACGATTTTACCCCTAACAATATAAAATCCAACAACATTTCACAGTCAATTTGGCCGAAAGGACCAAAATTGATAAAAATAACAAAGTTAGGCACTAAAATTAAAAAATTTTAAAGTTGTGCACCAAAAGTGATAGAACATCAAAAGTCGTGGGACCAAAAGTGAAATTAATTCTTCATATATAAAATTTTTGTTATTTAATAATTATTATGTGTGAATTCCTACGATAAAATTATGAACATAAATATATTTACAATTAAAATAATATTTAAGGTGGGTGATTACTACAAATCTTAAACTATATTAAAAATTTAGTACATAGTATTTAATATTACAAATTTTAAGAACTTAGTAAACTACAATAGTAATTGAATTACAATTTTAGAGTCACCACGGATCAAAATTTTTAGACCTTTGAGATTTCTAACTCTAGATGTAGCAACGTACAATTGACCTTTAAAGACCAAAATCACAATCTTAGTTCGAACATTGATTTTTTCTTCCAAATACTATCGAATTAAGTGTGTAATCAATAAAAAATGAGAACTAATAATTCGAGAATATAATCTTAATGTTACTAAGCCTACTTCATGTCAATTAAGTTGGAGAGTGTTGTTGGATAGTATCCGATGAATCCACGAATAACGCATCTTTGTCTCCGTAGTCCTCAATATGCACATCAACAATCTTAAATATTAGGCCGCCTAGCTATGCCATATATTAATTTCAAACTTATGAACTTTGAGGTTGCATGAAATAAAAAGTATATTTTAAATTACTAAGGGTACATTATATATATATGTAAGGTACTTTCAATATAAAAATAATGTATTTTTAATATATTAAAAATGTATTTGATATTCATGATCCCTACAATTATGTGGACCATCGTTCACACAATAATTTGCCAGTAGAAATTGAAATATAAATAAATATAATAAATATATATATATATATATATATATATATATATATATATATATATATATATATATATATATATATATATATATATATATATATATATTAGAACCTGTCATTGGAAATTATTATCATTATTATTATTGCAATTATTATTATTATTATTATTATTGTTATTGTTATTAGAATGAACAATATTATTATGGTCTTGTGAAAATTAAATGTTGATGATCACCATTTAATTTTCACAAGACCATATGACTTTATTATATATAGGATTTGATTCTTAAATTTGTTGTATTTGTCATTTATTTGAGGTGTTTGAGCTATTTTGCTTTAGGTGAATTAATACTTTAATGGCATTAACTCCAAGTATGGCAAATGGCGATACTAAATTACTAATACTTGTCAAAGTGTTGGATTATCTTTTCAACCATCTGCAGTAAAAATGAAGTCTAATGATATAGGTTGGGAGTATGGAGTAATTCATGATCTAAATAAGTCAATGGACAATGTTAGATGTTTATTGTGCAAGAAGAAAGTAATGCCTGGTGGAGTTTATCAGATTAAAGAGAATATTGTTGGCATACAAGGAAATGTTAGCAAATGCCCTACAACTTAAAAGGTTGATCAATTAAAATGTAAGGAAGCTCTCATGATGGCAAAGAACAAAAAGAAGAACAAGAGAGCTGAAGCTCAGAAATGGTTAAAAGGGGCTCGTAGGTTTCTACTTGCTTGGAGTTTAAAAATTTGTGTCTCCTGCTCATGAGAGTAAGGGCTTGAAGATGAGAAGACGGAGCGGGAGAGTGTTGGGGTACAACCGGGTCAAGAGAGCTAGGAATATGGTCGGAAGTTACCTGGGTAGAAGAGTTTGCGTCACTAGGTCGAGAGTGGTCCACCACCCCGGATCGTCGTCTCCGACCTCAGTAAATTGCTTGACCTCTTCTATGACGGTGTCATATGACAATACTAAGAAGGACCAATCTCAACCTGTTAGAAAATGTTTAAAATATGTGGCTCAAGTTCATCAGGTTGAATACTTCAGACCACATTTTCTTCTTCAACATTGCAATGCTTGCACGTGTCCCCACTCAAGCATGTCTTCACCGTGAATTGCTCTAGAAAATGTTTAAAATATGTGGCTCAAGTTCATCAGGTTGAATACTTCAGACCACATTTTCTTCTTCAACATTGCAATGCTTGCACGTGTCCCCACTCAAGCATGTCTTCACCGTGAATTGCTCTCCTTCAAATGCTTACCGTGAATTGCTGTCCTTTGATATCTATAAATAGATTTTAATATCATTTGTATTATGTACCTCTTGCATCAATTATCAATTCATTATCCATCCTTAATTCTTTAGCTTTCCTTACGTAGACAAATATATATATATTATTGTTTCAATTCTCTCTTTTGAGATTAATATATATATTTCTATATTCTCCCAATTTAGTATTTTTATTATTTCGTCATTTATTATATTTTCCCTATTATTATACTTCTATAATTCTCAATTTTTCGATCCTTCGCTTCCGCATTATTCCGCTATATTCCTAACAAGTGGTATCAGAGCCAAGTTTATTTGAGAATTATATTCAAAGATGTCGACTGTCACTAAGTTCGATATCGAGAAGTTCGACGGGAAAATTAGCTTCTCTATCTGGAAGGTTCAGATGGAAGCCGTTCTAACCCAGAACGGTTTGAAGAAAGCCCTAGCTGGGAAGAAGAAGAAACCGGCTGCAATGACAGATGAAGATTGGGAAGATTTGGATGACAAGGCACGTTCAACCATTCAATTGTGCCTGTCTAAAGAGGTTCTACGTGAAGTGGTAAGTGAGAAGACTACGTCAGATTTATGGTCCGAGCTGGAGTCGCTTTATATGGCCAAGTCTCTGGCGAACAAGCTACGCCTGAAGGAGCGTCTGTACACAATCCGTATGACGGAAGGTACTTCGATTAAATCTCACTTGGATGAATTTAATTCTATTTTATTGGACTTGGAAAATATTGATGTCGTAATTGAAGATGAGGATCGTGCTGTTTTATTGCTTGTCTCTCTCCCTAAATCGTACAAGCATTTCAAAGAAATTATGCTGTATGGTAATAGTAGTGATACCCTTACTTTTGACAATGTTAAGTCAAACCTATTGTCCAAAGAAAAGTTTGACTCTGAAATTAAGTCTGAGGACAAAGGTGAAGGCTTGACTGTAAGGGGTCGTTCACTTGAAACAGAGAGTAGCAATAAAAAATCTAGATCCAAGTCCAAAGGACGTAAGTCCAACAAATCCTGCAAGTACTGCAAGAAGCAGGGTCACGATGTGACTGAATGCTTCAAGTTGAAAAACAAGCAAGAGAGAGAAAAGAAGTCTGCTGAAGCTAGTGTTGTTGAAAGTGATTCAGAAGGCGATGTTATGTTATCTGTTAGCTCCGGTGACAAACGGAGCAAGACTGAGTGGATTTTGGACTCTGGTTGTACGTTCCACATGTGTCCTCACAAAGACTGGTTCGTCTCTCTGGAACCAGTTGATGGTGGAGTTGTCTTGATGGGTAATGATACCCAATGCAAGGTTAGTGGAATTGGAAGTGTTCAGATTAAAACTCATGATAATGTTGTCAGGACTCTTACCAATGTTCGGTATATTCCTGATTTGAAACGCAATCTGATATCCTTGGGCACCTTGGAATCTCTGGGGTGCAAGTACATAGCTGAAGGTGGAGTTCTGAAAGTCATAAAAGGCTCTCTTGTTCTCATGAAAGCTTCTCGTTCTGGAAGCTTGTACGTGTTGCATGGCAGTACTGTGACAGGTTCAGTAGCGGTATCCTCATCGATGTCTGATGCGGATCTCACTCAATTATGGCATATGCGTCTGGGGCATATGAGTGAGAAAGGCATGCATCTCCTGAGCAAGAAAGGTCTCCTTGGTGATTCAGGTACGGGTAAATTACAATTTTGTGAGCATTGTGTTTTTGAGAAACAAAAGAGGGTTAGTTTCTCTACTGCTACACACCGTACCAAAGATGTACTGGAATATATACATTCCGATTTATGGGGACCGACTAAATTCCAGTCTATGGGAGGCTGTAGATATTTTATGTCTATTATTGATGACTTTTCTCGTAAAGTCTGGGTCTATTTTCTGAAACAAAAAAATCAAGCATTTCCTATTTTCAAAAAATGGAAAATACTTGTTGAGACTCAGACAGGGAAAAAGGTCAAGAAGCTCAGGACAGACAATGGCTTGGAATTCTGTGAGTCAGATTTCAATGACTTCTGTGCGGCAAATGGAATCGCCAGGCACAAGACCTTGCCTGGTAAACCCCAGCAAAATGGTGTTGCCGAACGTCTAAACAGGACATTATTGGAAAGAGCTCGTTGTATGCTCTCTAATGCTGGGTTATGGAAACGGCGTGATTTTTGGGCCGAGGCCGTTTTTACTGCTTGCTATTTGGTGAATAGATCTCCACATTCATCCCTTGATTTCAAAATTCCAGAGGAAGTTTGGTCAGGTAATCCTGTTGACTACTCTATCTTAAGAGTTTTTGGATGTCCTGCTTATGCTCATTCCAGTACGGGTAAATTAAACCCGAGAGCTGTCAAATGCATTTTCTTTGGTTATGCCTCTGAGTCAAAAGGGTATCGTCTATGGTCTCCTGATTCTCAGAAAATCATTCTGAGTCGAGATATCACTTTTGACGAAAATGCACTACTTTCTTCTGAAAAAGATTCCAGTACAGGTGAGACGCAGAGTACTGGTGATAAGGTGGAGTTTGAGTTCAGGCCTAATGATAGTATTACTACCACTAATGGTAATACTAAAGATGATGCATCTACAAGTACCGCACCTCTCGTCGAGCCACAGCGAGAGTACTCTATTGCCCAAGATCGGCCTAGGAGGACAATTAAAAAACCTGCTAGGTACGCTAGTGACGATGAAACCCACTTGGTTGCTTATGCGCTTTCAGTTGCACAGGAGGTTGATGGTGATCCATCCTGCTATTCTGAGGCTATTTCCTGTGCCAACTCGTCCAAGTGGTTGGTTGCTATGCAAGAAGAGATGGAAAGTCTCCATAAGAATGAGACTTGGGAGCTGGTAGATTTGCCGAAAGGTAAACGCCCATTGAGCTGTAAGTGGATTTACAAAAAGAAAGAAGGCATTCCTGGGTTGAGAAAGCACGGTGGAAGGCACGGTTAGTTGTTCGAGGTTTTGATCAACGTGAAGGTATTGACTTTAACGAGATCTTTTCTCCAGTTGTTCGTCATACTTCTATACGTGTTCTACTTGCTTTTGTTGCTCTTTTTGATTTGGAGTTGGAGCAACTTGATGTAAAGACTGCTTTCCTACATGGAGAGCTTGATGAAGAACTTTACATGTACCAACCTGAGGGATTTGAAGTTCCTGGGAAGGAACATTGTGTCTGCCATCTACAAAAATCTCTTTATGGGTTAAAGCAAGCTCCAAGGCAATGGTATAAGCGGTTTGATGCGTGTATGTTGGGGCAAGGATTCTCAAGAAGCCAGTATGATAGTTGTGTCTATTTTAAAGAATTTTCTAAAGGGTCTTTTGTCTATTTGCTTCTTTATGTTGATGATATGCTCATTGCTTCCCCTGATATGTCTCTGGTTGATGACTTGAAGTCTCAACTAAGCAATGAGTTTGAGATGAAAGACCTCGGTGCAGCAAAGAAGATTCTTGGCATGGAGATACACAGGGATCGTCAAGCGGGTAAACTTTATCTATCCCAGAAAAAGTATGTTGAGAAGGTTCTTGATCGATTCAATATGTCCAATTGTAAACCTGTGTCTACTCCACTTGGTGCACATTTTAAGGTATCCTCGGGTTCATGCCCTAAGTCTGATGTTGATGTGGCTTATATGTCAAAAGTTCCTTACTCTAGTGCTGTTGGAAGTCTTATGTATGCTATGGTATGCACTAGACCTGATTTGGCTCATGCTGTAAGTGTTGTGAGTCGTTACATGCATAACCCTGGTAAGGAACATTGGAACGCCGTTAAATGGATTCTACGGTACCTAAAGGGTACTTCGTCTTTGGGCTTGGTTTTTGATCGAAATTCTTCTACATCTACTGATATTGTGGGCTTTGTAGATTCTGATTATGGTGGTGATCTTGACAGACGTCGGTCGCTTTCCAGTTATATTTTCACTCTTTGTAATTGTGCTATCAGTTGGAAAGCTACGCTTCAGTCTATTGCTGCGTTATCTACGACTGAGGCGGAATATATTGCAGCAACAGAAGGTGTCAAAGAAGCTACTTGGCTACGGGGTTTGGTTATGGAACTTGGTGTTTCACAAGGTCACACTATTGTGTTCTCTGATAGTCAAAGTGCTATCCATCTCACCAAGAATGATACCTATCATGCCAAAACCAAACACATTGATGTCAGATATCATTTTATTCGAGATGTTGTAGCTGCGGGAGATATAGTCGTTCAGAAGATTCATACATTGGAGAATCCAGCAGATATGCTCACCAAGCCTCTACATATCACTAAGTTCAAGCAGTGCTTGAGTTTAATCGGCTGTTTCGATTGTTAATTTTCACAGATGAATTTGATCCAAGGTGGAGATTGTTAGAAAATGTTTAAAATATGTGGCTCAAGTTCACCAGGTTGAATACTTCAGACCACATTTTCTTCTTCAACATTGCAATGCTTGCACGTGTCCCCACTCAAGCATGTCTTCACCGTGAATTGCTCTCCTTCAAATGCTTACCGTGAATTGCTGTCCTTTGATATCTATAAATAGATTTTAATATCATTTGTATTATGTACCTCTTGCATCAATTATCAATTCATTATCCATCCTTAATTCTTTAGCTTTCCTTACGTAGACAAATATATATATATATTATTGTTTCAATTCTCTCTTTTGAGATTAATATATATATTTCTATATTCTCCTAATTTAGTATTTTTATTATTTCGTCATTTATTATATTTTCCCTATTATTATACTTCTATAATTCTCAATTTTTCGATCCTTCGCTTCCGCATTATTCCGCTATATTCCTAACACAACCATTGCATCATAATCCCCGACTGAGAGGCTTTGACTGTCGGAGTCGTACATGATACCCCTTCCTTTAAAGAAGGAATACGAGGGGAACACGTTTTAGTAACCGGGAAGTTAGCCGGGAAGATTAATAATGCCCAAAGACTATGAAGGTCGACAATCTAAGAATATAAATTTTAATAAGCGGGAAATTGGAAATTAAACCCTTACCGAGAAAGCTGATCGAAAGCGTCCAATCTGATGAAGTTCACGAAAGTGTCCAAGCTCGGGAATCTTCGAGATTTTTTTGCGAGAAAACATAATTGTGCCTCGCCTCAATGCCCTATTTATAGGCGGAGGGAATGGGAGAATTTTAAATTTCAGACTGAATCCCTAGGTGGTCGTCCACGGCACGACACATGGCAAACATTTCGGATTGGGCGGTGATCTGCATAGTACACCATAGACCAGCATTGTATCAGATCCCGCCCTGATTACAACATGACATTAGAATGCAATCGGATTTTGTAGTCCGAGCCCCTCGCCACGTTGCCTTGACTCAGGACACGGACTAGGGGGGCTACTTGATAAGGAATATACCTCGGTTTACGACCCTTATGGTACCCGGGACCTGGTCGAATACGAATCGACTCGAGGCGATGGTCATTTCCCGACTGAAACCAACTAGAGTGTAGCGTTTGGCCGACCCGACCTAAAGGATTATCGAACCTGTGGCTTGATGAGTCGTTTCCCTAACATTTCTGTGTTCGGTCCTGACCTATTTGTTCTTCCGAGACCCCGAGCACGTATACTTAGCGTCCAAACTGATCCCAATAAGCAATTGGCTAGTTAGATATACTTTCACGCGTGCACGTTTCTCCTTAGCTGACATGATTACTGAGTGCATGGAGGGCGCGTGGCACACATGACGGACCATCGGCATGCGTCCCCTCGAATTCCTTATAAATACCCCGCGAGATGCCTAAGAATGAGATTTTTTTTTTTTTATTTTGTATTTTTGTAATTTCCACGCGCTAACTATAAGCTCGGGAACCTCTAACCCATTTTGAAGTCTTCCGAGCTTCTAGACTTAATCCAACAAGCAGACTAGGCAAAGGAATCGTAGCCGGAACCGACCCTAACACCTTATTACGTAGTATACACCCATATTTACTACATCAAATGTGAAGGACGCCATTTTTGAAACTCGCTTGGTCGGATAGATTGAAATTGAAAAAAATTTAGATAGTTGAGGATTATTGACAATTTTAACGCTCATAGACTCCAATTAACAATACCAATAGTTATAAGAAATTTTCTCAAATTATTATTATTATTACAATTAAAATTAAAATACGTCCAAAGCTTTAAAAAGAAAAATCGAATTATCAAAATGTAACCTGACCCGGTCCACTTCTCCATTTCCTTAGCATCAAAGCTAAAAAGATTTTAAATCCAAATCGAAAAGTTTCCAATATTCAAATTCTATTCCTGATTTCGGTTGATTGATCTCGGTTGAGAGCGAGTTTCAGAAATGGCACGGATGTCATCGTTAGAGATGATCGTGACCAACACGCCGGCGAAAGATCTCGCCTACACCAACTTCGCATATTGCTCCCAGGCAGATCTCCGGAACTTTGTCGTTCCGGGGACGAAAATGGCCTACGCTATCGTGGCCGATGCTTACGTTCTTTCCATTTCATATCCTTTTATCTTATGGTAGCATTTCGGCGATCGCCTGCATTTCTCTTCGGAAGGATATTACGTAGCACGTTGTTGAATTTATACGAGTAATTCGATTAACTTCGTTGTTTGCACGTTTTGATTACCAGTATTTTGAACAATTTTGATTAAATGTGCATGCTTCCTATTTCATTATTGTGTAAGCTCTGCGATTAACTAATTTTTTAGACTATCGGTGTCATTTAGAAAATTTTCTTTTAACTGAAATGAGTTCCCGGTTTTTTTTTTTTTTCTTAATCTAGTATTTGGTGTACTCAAATAGCAGTTGGTTAGTGGCATATTGAAATATTCTATTTTTCATTTACTTGTGAATAATGAGATGCTTTTTGTATAGAGATAAATGCAAATGCCTGCTAAGCAAGAATGTTAGAGTAACCGTTTTGAATTCACCTGAAATACGTGCTTAACAAGAAAGAGCCTATTAAATGTATGCCACTGAATAGGATGTTAATGCTGGAGATACAACTTAAGAAAGTTTTCATCTGCTAATCTTTTTGTTTATGATTGTGCTGACTTGTGAGTTTACATTAATTTGTAACAAAACAAAAATCAAGGATTATAAAGCATGCAATATTGGAAATGTGGTGTTCTTTCCTATATTTCTTATGTCTTTGAATGGCTTTATCCATAAGTAGTGATATCATGGGTCATAGTGTCACCTTAACTATGAGATACTGCGCATGATTCTATTTCCAATGGCCAAATTGGTCTTAATGTTATTCATCGCCGATATGCGAAGGTTTCTACTGGGGACTCCATACCTGTGAGCAGGCATGTTTCATATAACCTTGCTTTAGTTGTATGCGACTGGATGTTGATCTTTTATTCTTTTGGTGCATTTCTTATATTCGCTTAATAAATTACAGATTCATCCCACCTGAAGATTTCAATCTTGCTTTGTTGACCCTTGAATTGGACTTTGTAAGAAAGGGAACAAAAGATGAGCAGGTAAAAGTATATTTCAATATTATTCTCACTGTTTTGCAAAATCTAGGGTGTTTTGTTAAAAGTATTTGCTTGTGGTAACTAGTTAGTGATTTAGGGTTTGACATGGAAAATTTCCTTGCTTGTTTAAATCTTCTAGTGCTAGTGCTGGTCAAATCTAATTGACCAAAGATATTTCTTTTCAGGTTGATGCTGTTCAGATGGGTAATCAAATTCGAAAGAGATTTGTAAATCAGGTAAAAAGTTAAAAAGAAATTTCTTCTTTGTATGCTTAGTTATTGATGTTTCTTTGCAAGATTCATGTGCCCAGATTTCTTCTTATTGGGTAAATATTAGGTTTTCAGCTCCATGAATCCTGAATATTACAAAGATTAACTATTTAACTTATCATCTTAATGATCTTATAGTGGTGTTTTGTAAAAGATTATTTAATCAAATTATTGGGGTTATAGATTAAGGTTAGATAATTGGGTTTTTACACTTTTGGCAAAGATTATAGATATGGCACTTCTCTGTTCATTTAAATAACTAATAAGTATGTAACTTTGATTTGATAAGATCTTTTATTATTCAAAATGCATAATCATAACTGTAACAACTTTGACCAATATTAGCTTATACACTATAATCTTCCATCCATATTTTTCCTATTAGGTATGGATCGGGACTTGTCAGCGTAAAAGCATAAACCTTTTTGCAAAACTCATAGGATTTTGGCTTCACCAAATGCGGTGATTATGCAGGTTATGACAGCTGGACAAAAGGTGACATTTGAATACCATGGCAATGGTTATATCTTCACTGTTAATCAAGCTCAAATTGAGGGACATTCAAAATCAAATAAAATTGAAAGAGGGCTACTTTCTTCGGAGACATATATTATTTTTGAAGCTGCAAATGGAAGTGGAATAAAGGTAACTTCCTGCTTATTCTTTTATTAAGAGGCAGTTGATTGCTCAAATGATGATTACTTAGTGGGCATCTTTAACATTTAGTTGATAGTTTACTGATTACTATTTGTATCTATACAGATAACCAACCAGCGTGAAGCTGCTAGTAGCAGCATTTTCAGGCAGAAAGAGTTCAACCTGGAGTCATTAGGTATTGGTGGTTTGAGTGCCGAGTTTGCTGATATATTTCGAAGAGCTTTTGCTTCCAGGGTTTTTCCTCCACACGTCGCATCTAAGTATGCCAGAAATCCTGCTAAAAATATTTTAATTTTTTTACATGTTTCCTCAGCCTGCATCTACAAAAAAAAATTATAATCTCTAGAAACTTGCCTGATTTCTTGAAAATTCTCTTTGGCTATGGGACCTTAATTTGAAGACTTGGCATCAAGCATGTTAAGGGAATGCTCCTTTATGGGCCACCTGGTACTGGGAAGACACTAATGGCTCGACAGATAGGAAAGATGTTGAATGGCAAGGAACCAAAGGTTGCTTCAACCTTTTGTTGATTTCTTTTGCTAGTGGCATTTTTAGTGAACCTTGGAAGCTGATTTGATGTATCTTTAGAGCTAATTAAAAGTTTGTGTGATTTTTAAAATTAGTGTTGCTAATGCTATGATCTCTCTACTATTAATGGTTGTGTAGAGTTGACTAATGACATTGAGTTTTAGATTGTCAATGGACCTGAAATTTTGAGCAAATTTGTTGGTGAAACTGAAAAGAACGTGAGAGACTTATTTGCTGATGCCGAACAAGACCAAAGGACCAAAGGTAAGTTGTTTTGGTGGCAAAAATTTAAAATATTTTTCATTCTTTTACTGTTTTTATGATATGATATGATTTTGGACTTCTATTTTCCAGGTGACCAGAGTGAATTGCATGTTATTATTTTTGATGAAATTGATGCAATCTGTAAGGTGGGGGCCTCAAAACTCAATTCAATATCTTTCTCTTTCTCTCTCTCTTCTGAAACAATAATTTATCTGGTCCATTATATCAAGTTTGTTGTCTTCTTTGAATGAATTTTTGCCCAAATTATTAATAAGTGCATCTTAGAGAGTCTAACCCTCTGTTATCTGGTTAACTTTTAACTCAAGTAGATTCTAAATCAATACTTCAACAATGATAATCAACATGAGTAAGTGGAAAGACATTTTTCAGGAAGTTGGACATTGCATTACTTTTGTAAGCTCAAATCTAGCACCAACTCTTTAACTGCTTAATCTTCAAATCAAGGTGTTAAGTTTATCCTCTGTTTGGTTGGTGTTATCTTTGTCAATTGTCATCGCAGGCTTTGCTTCCTAGTCATTTTACAAAGCTGGTTAACTGATTATATTAGCCTTATCTGACTGTCACAGCCACTAACAACTTCATCCTCTGAAAGTCAAATAGGGAGATTCAATCACTTCATATAACAGTTTACCTTTGTGTTTGCAGTCCAGAGGTTCAACAAGAGATGGAACTGGTGTACATGATAGCATTGTGAACCAGCTTCTCACAAAGGTATTCTTGATTAAGTCGTATTGTGGACACATTGAGGTTAAGGGGATATTTGGCTGCAGCTGCACTTACATGCTTGACTGATTGATGATTTAATTGCTCTGCAGATTGATGGTGTGGAGTCTCTTAATAATGTTTTGCTTATTGGAATGACAAATAGAAAAGACTTGATTGATGAAGCACTATTGAGGTATATTGTCTCTCGTCTACTGTATTTCTTTGTAGCTGATTTTTTTGGTAATTCCATTACTAAACCTTGCATGGTTATCTTATAATGCATTAAAAATGAAAACTTGCTTTGAAGGCCTGGACGATTGGAAGTTCAAGTGGAGATAAACCTTCCTGATGAAAATGGTCGTTTGCAAATTCTCCAGATTCATACAAACAAAATGAAAGAGAATTCTTTTCTTGCTCCGGATGTGAACTTGCCAGAACTTGGTATGCTGGTTGGTGCTCTTGCCTAAGATAGTGTGACAATTTACTGCATTTTTCTCAGTTATTATGGCATTGTTTTTTTAGATATAATCATTCTCATTTACATTGAAGATATTCTTTTGGATTTTATGAATTCCATGTCCTCTGCAAATTACTGTCCAAGTTGAATGGTCTATTAGTATCTTAGATTAGTAATTGGAATTCTTATAATGCTCTCTCTTATTATCCCTGAGTGCAGCTGCACGAACAAAAAATTATAGTGGTGCTGAGCTTGAAGGTGTTGTGAAAAGTGCTGTATCGTTTGCTCTGAACAGGCAACTGAGCCTTGATGATCTTACCAAATCAGTAGACGAAGAGAACATAAAAGTGACAATGGATGACTTCTTGCATGCCCTTCATGAAGTCATCCCTGCGTTTGGCGCTTCTACTGATGACCTTGAGCGCTGCAGGTTGGCTATTTTAACTTGTATACTTTTAACATTTTAATCACCTAGGTCCTATTATATAGAACACATCTATCGAGAAAGTTTATTCTCATTAGTTATGTTAACATTTGTTTGATAAAGGCAGAAGAGGTCCTATGAAGCACAGATATATTGTGTTTTATAGGGACATGAAGACACCTTAAGAAAAATAAGGGAACACTTCGCACTAGGGAAACCTATTTAATCATTGTTACTGTTACTAGTAGCATATCAAGTAGCAAGTAAACAATACAAATGAAATTATCAAAGAAGTGATGGTCCATCTGAGAAACAACATATTTAGATGTAGCTCATCAAAACTTGTTCAATTGAGATATGATCTGACCAAGAATTTTATTCAAAACTTGAATAATTTTCTGCATAAGAGGGCACCTGTCTCCCTTGAGTTGGGGACAATAAAAATAAAATTAAATAATACGTCACTGAAGTTGGAGTAGAGTGTCTGACACAAAAAGATGACCTTACAGAGTTACAGTTAGTATCTGTGCTTTTCTAGGAAACTGGAAAAGGTTTTGAAATGTGTGTTTGGGGAGAAGGGCATTTGGTGAAAAGCTGGCTACTTTAATAAGGCCCTTAAGAGAACAATAATAACTAACTCAAAGGACCTTGAGCACTAGTTTCAAGGGGGCACTTCATAGTGGAAAAAGAATGAGTTCTCAACTTATTGTTTTGCAGGCTTAATGGTATTGTGGAGTGTGGTCAACGGCATGAACACATCTATAGAAGAGCTATGCTCATGGCAGAACAAGTTAAAGTCAGTAAAGGGAGCCCCCTTGTTACTTGCCTTCTAGAAGGCCCCAGTGGCAGGTAGGTCTTATTTTTGTTTTGCTTGTTTTCATGTCAACCAGTTTTCACATTTCTCTGAAGCTCATCTCTCTGTGGACAGTGGTAAGACTGCAATGGCAGCAACAGTCGGTATTGAAAGTGATTTTCCATATGTAAAGATAGTAAGTATTTTGATGTATTATGTTGACATTTAATCTAGTTTTCTTAATGATTAGCATTTCTCATGTTGTCCTTCTGTTTCTTCAATTGCTAGATCTCTGCAGAGACAATGATTGGATTAAGTGAGGGTAGTAAATGTGCTCAAATTGTCAAGGTGCTACACAGTGACCTTTTGCACTATGATCAAAATTTCATTCGGAATTTTCATTTAATTTTACAAGCATTTTCTGTGGCAGGTTTTTGAGGATGCTTACAGATCGCCACTAAGCATAATCATCCTTGATGACATTGAAAGGTAATCTGGATGGACAACTGGCTTTTAGATGAAGTCATTCTATGTGGATTATGGAAACATTATCTTATACTTTTGCAGGCTACTTGAGTATGTTGCCATTGGCCCTCGATTTTCAAATTTGATATCCCAGACATTGTTGGTGCTCCTCAAGCGGCTTCCTCCAAAGGTAATTCTCTGCAGTTGTCTAGGCTATCTTTGGGCTGCCCATATCCTCCTCCATTTCTTGTTTAGGCTATATCAGTGTACCCACAATGTACTTACTGTGAACATATACTTTTTCTCACCAAGAGTGGATTCGACCAAATCTTTTGACCCTTCCAATGTTACACCTTGGACGTTTGTTTTCCTTTTCCTCTCTCTTTTATGGATAATTATAATGTTTATTGTAATTATAAATTTGATTTGATAAATCCAAACAATTGAATATATTTGTGGCAAAATAAAATCAGGAGTCTCTGCCCCAGGAGAAGTTAAGGCTATTCTTAATCTTTGAGGTTGGCAGAGAAAGAGTTGACTTTATTTATAGGCGCCATTTGGCAAATGAGAAGGGAATTTAATCAATTTATAGCAATAGAAGTCGCCAAGTGCAGAAGTAGGAGATTAATATAGAGTATTAGAATTGCTACTCAAAGTAGCATTTAGTTTGTGAGGAGCAGTTTCTAATAATTTTTCCCATTTTGCCCTCACCCTCTGTCTTTCAATTGTTTTCTTTACTTTGTGGTAATGGCTATAGCTTTACCCTTTGCTCTTTTTTTTTTTTTTTAATGAATGTTACTATAGAATTTATTTTGTATTATAAGTCTTCATCAAGTTTAATCTGGATAATCAAACCTGGTAACTTTCATTAAAAGTCTTCATTAAGTTTAGGGCATTCTGTTCTCGTTAGTGTTATAAAGGTAAGATACTTTTCTAATGGTGATTTTCATTATTTGCAGTTATATTGATGGTAGGATTTTCACCTTTCTTTTTTATTGCACAATGAGATAATTCAGTACTATTCTAACTTTTACAGGGTAAAAAAATTCTTGTGATTGGAACTACCAGTGAGGTTGGTTTCTTGGAGTCAGTTGGTGTTCGTGATGCGTTCTCAGTCACACATCATGTCCCAACATTAAAGACAGAGGATGCTAAGAAGGTAAACTGACGTGTATTTTTACCCTTTTGTTGAATTTTATTGAACTATTTGTATCCTTGCCCTCCCAACCAATACCAGGGCTTAATCTTTGACGTTTCTACTTGCAGGTGTTAGAGCAACTTAATGTGTTCTCAAGGGAGGATGTTGATTCTGTTGCTGATGCATTAAATGATGTAAGCTCGAGAATTCTGTTTGCTCTGTCTCTGTCTCGCTTCATGTATCTCTAGGATGCATGTTGATTATTCACATTTATTTCATTAGTGATAACCCCTGTTCTATGAAATGTGTTGTTTTTGTTAGACGCCAATCAAGAAACTCTACATGGTCATTGAAATGGCTGCTCAGGGCCAGCACGGTGGGAGAGCAGAAGCCATTTTCTCCGGAAAAGAAAAGATCAATATTTCACATTTCTATGATTGCTTCCAGGATATTGTTCGATACTAGTTTATGTCTGCCCAAGTTTAGGTTCAACCAATTTCACGGCCATATTTGTAATTCTTTGAGCCACAACCATTTTGAGTGCCACCATTTTTCTGGGCTTATTAAAGTAGTGTCATAAAACTCTGGTTTTATAACTGTTGTCCTTTTTATACTTTTTGTTTTTGTTTTGTTTTGTTTTTTTTGTTTTTTTTTTTTTTTTTTAATACGCTGTATGCTTGTAGTGTCGACTCAAGCAAACGAGCTCAAACATTCACGGATGGACTGAGAATGTGATCGGGATAGTAATATGGAATTATCAATTGTAGGGTGTGAGTTCTGATAAATTGTTTTAATTATACTATCATTATTTTAACTGTTTCCATTCTTACTTCTCTCAATTGTGCCCGTAGCTAAATGCCCTTTGTTTTAGGTTGATGATGCTCAATGAATATTATTTTAAGCGCAACCATACTCCATAGTCCACAATATGGATAGGAGTTGGATATAAAAATATATACAAGTTTGGTTATCAAGATGGAGAGAGTATAATCACAAAAAATCATGTCTATTTTCAAAGTATGTTTGTCTAATAAATGTATGGAATTTTTTGCGTGCATTCAATGTATGTTGGAGAAAAAGTCAAGGACAGTAGTTAGACAGAAAACAAAATATGGTGGTTGGAGAAAAAAAGTAAATAGAAAATCGGGGATGGTGATTGGAGAAAGAGTTATAGATGGTTGCAAGAGAGAAAGTATAGTGGTCGAAGAGAAAGCCATTGATGGTTGTCAAAAATGAGAAAGTCGGGGACAATGATTGAAGAGAAAATTAGGGATGGTGGTTGGGGAGAAAACCGAAAATGGTGGCCAGAGAGAAACCATATATATATATATATATATATATATATATATATATATATATTGACCAAAGAGAAAGTGGAGATGGAAGCCGAATAAGAGAAATGGTGGAAAAAGATTTGGATATGTTGTTGTCAACGTTTGATAGTAGGTTTCCTCATTCAATAAGTGTAAGTGGAAAAGTATACTTTGGTACTTGTTTGATGATTTTTTTAGTACACTTGGACTAAGAAGAAAAGTGAAGTGGATGACCTTACGGAGGGTTTAGTGAAACTGCATGAGAAGGTGGATGTTCTGGGTGTGCCAAAAGACAGGAGGAGGAGTAGCCTCTCGTGCTAGAAGAATCAAGTATGCCCCAAGTAGTTAAAGGACCTTAGTGCCATATTCAGGTGGTAAGACTAAAGCATCATCTTCTAGATTTGATGGTATTGGCAAGTTTTCAGAAGATAAGTCCGAAAAAGACTTTAAGCTATATATATAGTAGTTATAAGGGTGACAGATGGGTGTGATTGAAGGAAAAGATGTACTGAAAACTTTCGAGAATTATATAAAGTTCAACATTTTTGAAGCTTTCTAGAGATTTGTGAAAGAACCATCTATGGGACCAGAGCACACATCAATGAAAATCTGGATCGAATCGAAGAACAAGCATGGAAAGAACAAGAACAAAGGTAAATAGATTGTAATAGCTAGCTTGTAATTTTGTTTTTGAGTTAAAATATCTTTTTTTGTAATGAACATGTAATTGTAATGACTGCATTATCTAGTGGAAAGTTCAATTTGCTTGATCTTAAGCTTATTTATGTTCTTAGAAAATTTTTAAAGTGTTAAATTATGTTTATGTGCTGAGCCAAGTAGCTTGTAGCTCAATGAACGGTTCTTTCAAATGGAAGGTTACAGGTTCAAACCCCCATTAGAGAGTACTCAAAAAAATATTTATGCGCTGAGAAAACTAATGAAAAGTCAAGTTTGACAACTTTATTCAAAATCAACATTAAAATAAGAGTATAGGTCTTTTCATCATAAAAAATGGAAAATTGTTTGGAACTATTTGTATTAGATTTTGATGATACAAAATAAGTTAGGAAATTAGGTCCCCAACTTCTTTACATTTTTAGACTTAGGTTTTTATTCGATGTAACATCCAAAATGTTTTACTTAGGAATGAATTGTACTACCTGGAAGGTAATTAATTAAATATTAGTTCAATCCGTAAAATGAACTAACATGAAAGTTAGTAGTACCGAAAGGCAAAAGTACCAGATAGTCAAGCAACCGAATGGTGCACAACTAGAAGAGTAGAAGACCAAAGTGTCCATGATTTGAAGGCCTGGAAGGTTCAAGTCCAAATAGTGGATACAAGCTTAAAGTATAGGATATAGTACTTTTGGGACTGAAAGGTACAAGCAATCATATGGTTAATTTATACCGAATGGTAATTGGGTTGACTTTTAGTTAAATACCCCATCCAAAAGGTTGCAAGGAAGTTGATTGTAGTTAAAGGTCAAGAGACACTGAATAGTCTGAACTGAGAAGTGATCTAGTTACCATTTGATCAAGTACTCTACAATTAGCACAATCATTGACAGTATAGTGATTGACAAGAAGAATGTTGTCAAGGTTTCAACATACCTAGGTACATATCCCAGAGGGGATTTTCCTTAAAAGGCCAAGGCAAAAAGAGAGTTGAACAATCGAGATTTAAGGAGCTGAAATTCAAACAATGGTTGGAAAATCCTTACAAAAGCAACGTAACACGCAACCACTAGTCATTACACGTTGAATAAAGACTACCATTTGAATTTTGGTTATCTCCCACGAAAAAATTCAAATGAGTCTATAAATACCTCCATTCAATGATGAATGGGGTGTTGGTCTTTTAGAGAGAAAGTATACAAGTACTGAACTGCATTTCAAGCGAGTTACCAAATTGACAAGCGAGAGATAAAATTACAATCAACTCTAGATCAAGAATAGACTTTGATAGATTCAAAGATAACTCAACACCAAGTTTACACAAGTTGAAGAAGAATAGATCTTTGTGTTCAATATTCACAACTCTATTCGAAGGAGTAGAAAAAGGAGTAATATGTTGTAGCTTGTGAAAACCTTGAAACATGTAGTTGACTTTGTGATCAAAGCACAAGTCCTCTCCATATGTATTAGGAATGCAATACTAGTGGAACCTCCTAAGAATTTCTATGAAAAAAGTGGATTAGGCTAAGTTGAATTGATTGAACCACTATACAAATTTCTATCTCTATTATTTTTACTTTTTGAATTTATTTACTGCTTACATCTCTTAGCCGCAAACCTAATCATTAATAAGACAAAATATGTGCTACAATTATTAAAAGAGAATAAGACAATTTTCTGTTGCGTTTTTAAAACTTTACATTTTGTGATTCAAGCTCACTAGCTAAAATTATTTTCAAAAAAATTAACAAGTCTATTCACTCCCCCCACCTCTCCCTTCTAGACTTATTTCATAAACCCTTCGAAACCAATACATTTAATACAATAATGAACTATACACATGTAAACATGACAAAATAATGAACAATGCATAATAAACAACGATGCCAAACTATCAAAATATCAATTATTAGGGGCGAAGTTAGGATTAGATGGTGGGCCAAACACAATTGAAGTGAAAAATCAAATATATTATATCCATTTAACATGTTCTAAAATAAATAGTTTCATTGCAAATTTACTAACATTTATAATGTCTCACAAAAATTATCTATAATTAAATCTATACTAAATAATTTTGTAAAAAACTTTTTTTTTTTGGGGTTAAACTATAGGTTTCCTCAGTCGGGGTACATTAGGACCCTACGCACCAAGACTAATCTTGTTCATATCAGGTAGGATCTCAAAATGTGGCGAAACACTCCTTCATGAGTTTTAAAGTAGATGTATTTTCAGGGCTTGAACCCAAGGCCCCTAATTATTTTACAATTTACTTTTCAATGTATACTAACCAAAAATCAATAAGAAATTCATCTTCCATCTTGTTACAAAGTGTAGTCTTGACTATATTAATTGAGAAAAAATGCTATGTACGAAGAATGAATGCCTTCACATATGTTTAAAATGCTATTGATGGTTAATTTCTTAAAATCTACCTTCCTTGCAAGAAAACTGAATGCCAATAATTGTTTCCCAAACACAAATACTACACAATCTTTACATCATTCTATAAATTAATTAATTTCAAATTGACCATATAACCACAACATAAATCCAATAAATGAACCAAACAAACACACATTGATATGAATTTAGAATCAAATACAACAACTATTTAAAATGTTTTTTTTTTTTTTTAAAAATAGTATGAAAACAAAAATTAACCAAACAAACCGTTAGAAACAAAATAACAACAACAACTATAATAATAACAACAACAACAACAACAATAATAATAATAACAATAATAACAATAATAACAATAACAACAACAATAACAAATGATAACAGATGATGATGATGATGATGATGATGATGATGATGATGATGATGATGATGATGATGATGATGAATGATGATGATGATGATGATGATGATGATGATGATGATGATGATGATGATGATGATGATGATGATGATGATGATGATGATGATGATGATGATGATGATGATGATGATGATGATGATGATGATGATGATGATGATGATGATGATGATGATGATGATGATGATGATGATGATGATGATGATGATGATGATGATGATGATGATGATGATGATGATGATGATGATGATGATGATGATGATGATGATGATGAATGATGATGATGATGATGATGATGATGATGATGATGAATGATGATGATGATGATGATGATGATGATGATGATGATGATGATGATATGCCAAGACATTGTGGTCTAGTGGTACCAAGTTGCACTTCCATATGTGAGGTTGTGGGTTTACTTGAGAAAGTAGTTATGAACAGATACTGCATTGTAACAGAGTCAGTAGCACTAAAAAAAACATGTATATATTCTAATAGGTAGCTTGGGTGGGAGTGGTGTCAAATTATTATTGCGTGGACCGTGGTCAACACAACACAGTCCAAAACGACGCTATCTTGTTGGGAGACAACGCCGTTAATTGGCGACAATGGGTCGCACATTTTGTTTTTTTCACGCGACTTGTATTTTCCTATCCATTGTTTCTTCCTCAACTCACTACTGCAACATACATTTTTATAACTGATAAAATACATTATTCTAACTCATAAAATACATTATTTTAACTCATAAAATACATTTTCTAACTCATAAAATACATTATTCTAACACATAAAGTACATTATTCTAACTCATAAAATACATTATTCTAACACATAAAGTACATTATTCCAACTCATAAAATACATTATCTTACCCCAGAAGTTTCATTATTCTAACACATAAAGTACATTATTCTAACTCATAAAATACATTATCTTACTCCATAAAGTTCATTATTCTAACACATAAATGGCTACAGCAAACGTCGTTATTGGCTAATAGAATTATTATTATTTTTTAATATCAAAACGACGTCGTTTTCGATCGGGTCCACAATAAGTTGCCCAAATATTTTGAATGGCCAAATAGAATTTAATATTAATATATTATATATAATATTATCAGGGGTAGGGTAGGGCCCACCACAAACACATGCAAGACTTATACCATGGATCAAGATCCACCTTACAAGATGGACCAGGGTCCACCTTACAAGGTGGACCCGAGTCCAAAATACACAATTTACCTACTGAATGTTCACAATTTACCTTTTACGAAATTGTGAACATTCAATATATAAATTGTGTGTTTTAGACCCGAGTCCACTTTACAATGTGGACTTGGGTCCACAAAATAATTTGCCAAACAAAAGCCTCCGCCCCTGTCAATTATTGTACTAATAATAATCCTCTTAGTTTATAACATATAGCATTATAGCCTATAGTATATGCAGTGGTCCAATATAATTGTGGGTACAAGACTGGAATCTATACATAATTTGTCTTTTACATTTCACTTGATGATTCCCTGCACTACCAAACATTATAAACCCGGAACAACGTTAACAATGTTACAATCTATTAAACTGAAGATCCATTCTTCATCAGTTTGAGATTCATTCCAATTAATTAAGCAATTAAGCATGATGAGTGGTGCTTTGCATTCCATAATCACAGCTTTCTTCCTAACTTTTTCTGTGTCCATTTATCTTCTTTGGAAACTCGTTAGATTGGTTGACAGAGCATGGTGGACCCCGCGCAGATTACGTAAAGTAATGAGGTCACAAGGCATCATAGGCCCCCCTTACAGCTTCCCTCATGGCAACACAAAACAAATCTCCAACATGAGGAGCCAAAGCATGGGAAAGCCCATGTTTGATATATCTCATCACATTTTTGCAAGAATCCAGCCTCATGTCCACACTTGGAAAGAGATTTATGGTTAGACATTAATTACCCATCATTTTAGTCTATAACTTTTAATGTTATAATTCATTCCTTTACCATTTAAATAAGTTGCAGTTTTAGTCTTACTGCTGAAAATCATCATATCTCCGACCACCCAAAAGTGGTCGGAGATGGCCTTAATCCGATCGGTAACACCGTTTCTGACCACTTTTCCGACCATTTGGATGGTCTAGAGACTAGAGCAACAGAATTGTAAAACTGATCCGTTATAAATTTACTTACTATATGAGTATTTTTTGTAATTTTTTTTAATGGGTTTTTCTTTGTAACTATCTTCAGATTCAGTTTTTGATATGTAAAATAATAATGAACTTGATTTTAGCATGTTTGTGTGGAGGAAAAATCAAGGACGATTATATTGAAGCAAGAACTTTATAGACTGAGTTGTTAATTCTTTATTTTGCAGATGAAATACTGAAACTAAAGAGGTTATAAAGTAGAAAAATAACAAATTACTAAATTGCACATGCATGTATTAAGTAATTAAAACTCTAATGTAATTCAATGATTTTGTTGCTCCAACGTCTGTAAAACTACAACTTATTTGAAAAATTAGGATAATATATTGTAACGCTAAAAAGTTAGAACTTAAAATTAGTTGATAATAATTGAAGGCAAAACAAAACTTATTTAATTTATTCTTGAATTTATGTTTGATACATATTAACCAGTACGTACACATGCAGTACTTAAGCACTAATAGAATTTACTGTGTTAGGTAATACATTTCTAACCTGGCATGGTACAAAGCCTTACTTATTCATTACTGAACCTGAGCTAATCAAAGAAGTACTGGCCAACAAAGAAGGTGCATATCCCAAAATGGACCTCGACGACTTTGCAAAGAAGCTCCTAGGAGAGGCACTTATAACAAACGAGGGTGAAAAATGGGCCAAAGTTAGGAAACTCGCCAACCACACCTTCCATGCTGAGAGCTTGAAAGTAAGACTCCCGTAAAAAGGTTACAGATTTAATTCTCAATTTTCTTAGCTCGTATATACAATCAACTAGGCAGAAATTATTAGGACGGACTATACTAAATGTTAGATATAAATATATAGGGGGTGTTTGGTAAATATATAGATGTTAGTTGATAACGGTTAGCTAATTGGGTTATTGGTTGATAGCATTAGCTTATTGTAGAAAAATGTTTGATAAATTAGCTGATTATATGTAAAATGACTTTATCAAAAAGTTGATCGAAAAAACTATTTTGAGTAGCTTTTTGAATTTTGGCTTTTTGGAGTAATAAGTTGTTACAAAAAGCTAATTAATCAAATACGTATATTAGTTATTTAATCAAGTCAAACAGTTAATAGTACTCAAATAAGGTAAAATTGGTTGCTAACTATGTTACCAAACAGGGCCATAATCTAACCTTGTAGCAACAGAAACGGATCGGAAGCAATTAAAATATCTCCCGCCATAGTTGATCTCTTCTTAATTGTGTTGCCTTTCGAACTGTTGAATTGCAAGAAAAGATTACGTTTTGTCCCACACTTGACTAAAAACTTTAGATTTAGAACTTAATATGGTGTATTTGTGATTATTTTAAGCAATATGAGTACTATATATAAACTGTATATGTAGTGCTATATACTGTATGTCCTATATCCTATCAATATAGGCTTTGGGAAAATCTAACACATACAAAAAGTACACAAGTTAAGTACATGTATGATTGTTATGAGACTAATAATTTGTTATTTGAATGAGTGAATGCAGAGAATGGTACCAGAAATGATTGCTAGCGTTGAAGTGATGTTGGAGAGGTGGAAAGAATTGGAAGGAAAAGAGTTGGACGTGTTCAAAGATTTTGGGGTGTTAACAACTGAAGTGATATCCAGAACAGCATTTGGTAGCAGCTTCTTGGAAGGGAAACATATCTTCAAGATGGTATCCAATTTAACCGCAATAACTGTCAAAAATGTGTACAACGTTAAGTTTCCTGGAATCAGGTACGATGCGCTTTATATATACACTATATGTTCAACAGACACTTTTTTAGAGATTGTTTGTGTTGAGCATGTATAATATATAAACATAAATCTGTAATCCAACTATCAGCTTAGCCTTTTAGTTGAGATGGACACATGTTGTTTGAAATCCGTCAAACATAACATCAACATCGCACTCGTGAGGGGTATAAATGTGCAATCTTATTAGGATCGAGTACTTACCACTATATTAAAAGGTATAGCTAGTAGAGAAGGTGCAACTTTATTTCCTTATACCACCAGAGCGTTGGACTTGGCCTTTACCGGCCTTATATATATGCAATCTTGTTAGGATCAAGAGCTGAAATGCAACATTATTTTGTTATATCGCCATACATTTTCGAGAGTGCTGGACTTGTCCCTTACCAACCCCTACCCAATAATCCTTTAGTCACATGGTGTTGAACTTAGCCCTTTACCAGCCTCATGTGCGATCTTGTTAGCATCAAACGCTTACTACTACCCCAAAAGCTATAACGAAGACCCAACTTTATTTACTTATACCCCGCCACACATTTTTGAGAGCCTGTAGGCCGGGTGCTCTCCACCCAACAATCTCCTAACCACATGATGCTGGACTTGGCTCTTACCCGCCTCTGCCCAACAAATTTCACTATCAGCTTAAACTTTTAGTTGCGATAAAACACATGTTTTAATTGTTTGGTTGGTATATATCCTAAAATTTGACTGATTTTGCAGCATGTTAACGAGAAGTAGCGATGAAATTGAAGCAGAGAAGCTAGAAAGAGGAATCAAGGGTGCCATCCTAGAGCTAGTGAGGAAGAGGGAGAAAGAGAGCAATGGAGTTGTTGAAAATTATGGTAACGATTACCTAGGACAGCTTATGAAGATTACTACTGGTGGCTCCGACATAAGCAAGAACATCAGCCTGGATCAAATGATCGACGAAATTAAGGCTTTGTATGGTGCTGGACATCTCACAACCACTTCTTTGCTTGGATGGTGCATTTTCCTGCTGGCACTCCACACTGAATGGCAAGAAAAAGCTCGAAGGGAGATTTTAGAGCTGTTTGGGCATGAGAATCCAACGTCTGATGGTATTGCAAGATTAAGAACGGTAAGAATATAATATGATTTCAGATTGCAATTTACTTGTTATGCCACTAGAGGTTTCAAATGGACAGGTTAAACCTAGTCTGTTTGGACTTGTTCAACTCGACCCCTATAATATAGCAATCGTTATGCTGTGAAACCGGTCTTTACCTTATAAGGTAGCCACGGTTCTATGTCATAATTACTGAATTATATGTTCATAATTATAAAACTATATATATATTCATCATTTTTTAACTTCATATTCACAATTATTGAATCTCTATATTCATAATTACAGAATTATATGTTCATAATTATGTTTACAACTCTATGTTCATAATTATAAAATTATATGTTCATAATTTTTGAATTATATATTTATAATTATGAACAGTTTTAGAACTGCTGGACACGGTTTCACAGCATAATTTGCCATAATATAGGGTTTGGGTTATGATTTAATCATTATTTCATAGACCATGCATGGTCCACACATTTGTGTGAACCATCAACAAAAAATACATTTTTAATATACTAAAAGTACATTATCTGTATACGCAAACTACATGATTTTTTTTTTTATATATTATCAAATAATGTACATTCAATACACAAATAATGTACTTTTAGAATATTAAAAATGTATATTGCATTCATGGTCCATACAATAATTTGCCGTCCTTATACTATGGACCAGGGTTATGTTCACAATGCATTGTGGATCCTGGTGCATGTGTATATGTTTTATGTTCTGAGTTTTTGTGTCTTGTGTTATAAAATCTTGTACTTTATGAGTACGAATTTTGTACCTGGTCATTTTGATTCAATGTCCATAATGCTATGTGGACGCTGACCCATGATATACATTGCAGATGAACATGATACTAAATGAATGCATGAGACTATATCCTCCGGTGATCACAGTGACAAGAAAAGTTGAAAGGGAAGTGAAACTAGGCAATCTAACCATACCAGCTGATATCACCATTTTCATGCCCATATTAGCACTGCACCATGACCCCCAAATATGGGGACAAGATGTTCATGTCTTCAACCCACACAGATTCGCACAAGGCGTAGCTAAAGCCACCAACAACAATGCCGCCGCCTTCTTCCCATTTGGGATGGGGCCTAGAACCTGCGTTGGCCTAAACTTCACCACTAATGAAGCCAAGATCGCCCTCTCCATGATCCTGCAACGTTACAAGTTCACTTTGTCGCCAAATTACGTGCATTACCCTGCTGATATCTTCATCCTCACCCCCAAAAATGGAGTTCAGGTTATCCTGCAGAATGTTTGATTGTTAAGTTGCCCGTACGGACTTAGCTTACTGGTTAGGAATTATTTGAAAAAAGAAATAAAGGTTCAAAGCTTGGCAGCAGCACTAGTGTAGAGATTATGCCCAAAGTGAGTAGATCCTTGTGTGCACTAGTATTTGACCATGTGTGCTGAACTATTGAGTTATCGTAATTTATATCCTCTCACATGTTCTGTCGGGTCAGTGTAGGGATTCAACCTAGCTTTTGGGAGAAGAATATTTGATTGTTGTGTGTAGTTGGAAAGATTAGAATGTATGTGCATAAATAAAGTCATAAACTTTCAATAAATAAGTCTGCATTTAGAAAATCTAGAACTATGCGTATTGCGACTACTAACAAAGCAAAATTATTTGTGAAATTATTTTAAGTTAATCGGCCAGGTGAGTTATGCTTTGTGGCTGCATTTATTGAAGGACTAGTTTTTTACGCGCGCATTGCGTGATTGAGATAATGCCTAATGTTTTTTTTTTGTTTTTTTTTAATAAGTATTTTAAAGTATATTATATTAGAATTGTTCATGTATAAATAATTGAATGTTGAATTTGCGTATTTAAATAGGTAATTTTAAGTTTGCAAATGCAAGATAATATAGTAAGATTGATTATAATTGTCAATAAAATAATTGTATAGGTATGGTTGAAACCAAATACGGGACATAAGGGAGAGCAAATAAATTCTTTTTCATGGAATTAATAAAATACTTGGTAAATAAATATATAGCATTATTTTGTATTATAACTTTGATATTTAATTAAAAAAGTAGTGCACAAAAAAGATAATAGACAATGTAGTGAATATAATCAATTGATAAATTTGAATGTAAAGGATTTTTACATTGGAGAAAAATAAAACAATATAACTAATAAAATTATTTCTCTTAATTAATTTATTGATAATGAATAATTTTTTTTAATAGAGACATTGTAGGGACAATGTAGCGAATATAATCAATTGATGAATTTGAATGTAAAGAATTTTTATATTGGAGAAAAATAAAGATAATATAACTAATGAAATTATTTCTCTTATTTAATTTATTGATAATGAATAATTTTTTTGAATAAAGACATTGTAGACACATAATTCTAAATTAAAGAAATGCATATATATTATTTTTTGTTGTAGCTACTAAATTATTATTTAATTTAATAAGAGTGAAATAGAGTACTAAATTTAATAAGAGTAAAATAGAGTACTAATTATGCCAACTTTGATTGGGATGAGGTTCGAACTTAAAACCTTTTAAATCAATGAGTAAGTTAACGGTGAACTAACAGAAATTAACCGAAAAGATAATATTTAACGGAAAAGTTAACGGATAATCATGTTCATTAAGGATAAATTAGGAAATCTTAAGGAAAAATTAAAATCTGATCAATCTGAGCCATTCATTTGATTAAAAAAATTTGACCGCCATTTTTTCTTCCCATTATAGCCCTAACTCTCTTGGGATCTTATTAGTATAGTAGATTTTATTTCTTGCCTAGAAAGTTGAATCCTCAACTTCAAGGACCCCCGTATCCGTCCTTACTTAATAGAGCATATGAGATGACATAAATTTCGGTAACTTACTAGCTCAACAGATAGGGTTAAATTGTCGTGCAATAAATGATCTGTTCACTTTAAGCTAATCATCATATTGTTGTTGTCGAGTTTCAAACCTTAATACTTTGCCCCAAATATTATGGTTCGACTAAACTCGGGCTACTCCACTCTTCTCTTAAAACTCTAGCTAATTCTCTGTTTTTACGAATAGCGTTATGCTCGTAACAAGGCTCGTAACACTCAAGTTCAGAAAGTCAATCTCTTTTGTTACCAGCATCTTTATGCTCATAACAAGGTTCATAATGGGAAGCACCTAAAAATGTGTTATGCTATCATGAGTGGGTGTTACGCACATAGCATCGGTTTGTAATGCAAGCATCCGTAAGGCATTTTTGCTGCTATGAGAGAGCGTTACGCTCGTAACCTGGTGTTGTAACGAGGCATTTTGTGTGAAGAGTTCTGCTGTTACGAGACACGCTACGCTCGTAGCGGGCCTCGTAACGGAGGCTGATCCCAAAAGTATAAAAGGACGGAGTTAGAATTTATGGGGAGCTTTTAGTTTTCTTTTAGAGACTTCCTAGACTACTTTTAGAGACATTTTATGTGATTTTCTGTATTTGTAATATTCAATATTTAATACTTATCTATCTGACTTAACTATTTGAAATCTTGTCTTATTGCTAACCCTAATTGCATGTGGTTAAGCAGATTATGCAACAGCGATATGACTATGTGCCGTAAATATATATATATATCAAACATAAAGTAAAAGATGCAAGGTATTGTTTACCCAGTTCGATACAATTGTATCTATGTCTAGTGGACCACCATCAGTGAGTCCAATCCACTATCTCAACAGAAAATCAAACAGACAATAAGAGAACGCATTTTCAATCCAATGTGCCATATACTTCACACAATAAAGACCTAATCTGATGAAGCTATAGAGCATTGTCGAGGCCGAAGATCCGTGCAATCAGCAGTCCAAGAAATCCCTTCTTGGAGATCCGCGTTGTCGCTATCCTTCTCGCTGACTCGCCCATCACGCACCACAGTTGTATAGAATACGGTCCAAAGATAAAGCTTTGTAGATCTTCTTCTCAAGAGTCTTCTTAAACTCAGATTATCAATAGTGTCTTAAGAAGATAATAACTCAGAGTATTCACTTTGTAATTCGTAGAGAGAGTTTCTTGAATCTCTTTTGTAAATCTTGCTTCGTAAACTCTTATTGAATTCTCTCTCAGACCAATATATTTAATACTCTAATCTTTAAAAGACAAGTAATTCCTAAGATATTCCTTGTAGAATGAATTATTATCCTATCCTTGAGGTATTTCAATCAGATAAGAATATTTTTGTAAAATAACGACCTCAGACTGCGTAACTGCTCTGCCAGCTGTAACTTATAAGACAGTGTAGTTCCAAAGGCTCTGGTGTAGTGTTTGTTTTGCCAGATCTTCTATCAGTACTCTAACGGACACTAAACCTAACATATCTAGTTTGCTATAATAATTTTGTTAATTACAAGTTGGGATTTACAATACTAAACACTAACATTTTACTTTTCTATACTTCCAACTTTTTTAGATACAAATTTCTGATCAATTTCTATTTCTATTACAAGCATTATATTACTTAGATTCAATTTTCAATTACTACATTTGAGCAAAGATTGAAGATCTCCATTTCTAATTTCAGTTCAATTAGATAAGTCCATTCTTATTTCATTTCTTTGCACGTACTTTTACCATTGCTTTGATTATCTTGATCTTTTACTTGTGATTTCTATGGATTGTGCTTTTGATCATGTATCTATTGTTACTTCTACTTTGATAATGTGAGTAGATTTCTTACGAGGGAGATAGCAGGGATGTAGATTAAGATTTTGGAGATGTGATCTTGAGTTGGTTGAGTAGGGGAGATGAGACTTGACTTGAATGATTTTGGTCAACGTGATTGAGTCTTGTTTAGGAAGTGATTACCTAATCTAGGCTCAGGGGAGGTTGATCAACCATGTTTCACCTAAAGGGAAGTATGATATGTCAATGACACCGATAGGAATGGGCATGAAAGTGATTGTTATTGTTTGGTTGATAGATTTTTAGAACACTACTATAGGTTTCGAATACCCCATCAATTGAAAAACCCATACCCAAATAAAATAAGGGTTCCATTCCCTTATTCATTCTCAAGCATGCACTACTATTAGTAACCATTCCCGTTCCACCCTACTACCAAACATGTTAAATACTTTCACCAAAACCCATTACAGATACCAAGTATTTGATACCCATTCCGATTCCGATTCCGATTCCCATGTACGAACCAAACACACCCCGAGTGTTTTATGAAATGTCTCTTAGTGACTCATGAGTCATGAGAATGTCCCTAAGTGTTCAAAGATTGTGGAATGATTTTGAGAAAGGCTTCCTCCCAATTATATGTCATTCATTATCTAGTCAATTGACTATTTCCCTTGTTCCCAAATTCGATTGTGTTTCTTTGTCCTAAACCAAGTTCCTATTCCCCTCTATCTTTCGCCTATTATTGTTAATCATATCATTTGTTATTTTGTATTGTTATTTGTTATCCTCAATCGTTGTTTAGGCTAGATTTTCACAAAAATATTTAATACCTTGTGCTTGAGAGACATAATCTTGACACCTATCGCTAATCCTTTAAGAACAATATCTATTCCCCTCTATCTTTCGCCTATTATTGTTAATCATATCATTTGTTATTTTGTATTGTTATTTGTTATCCTCAATCGTTGTTTAGGCTAGATTTTCACAAAAATATTTAATACCTTGTGCTTGAGAGACATAATCTTGACACCTATCGCTAATCCTTTAAGAACAATATCCGGTGTGAGGATACACACTCACACAAAACTCACTCAAAAATACTCTCCATCAAGCCTTATGATGTGTTAGGGATAATTGGACCAATGGCCTACATGCTGTAAATACCACCTAGTTCGCTAATACATCTATAGAATTTTCACATGTTATGTCCTTGTTGAAGAAAAGAGGACAAGTCCTACTTGAACGAATAGCAGTTTTAGGTAAGAGATTGGTGAAGAAGAACAATGTGATTGAGGTCTAGATTGCAGTGGCATGGGCTAATCTAACATGGTCTGAATTTCTAATTTTGGGAAGAAAGACGACCAAGTTGGAAAATAGAAGGATGAAACCAAAAAAAAATTTATGAAATGGTCCCGGCGGGGCTCGAACCCGCGACCTTCGGCTCATAAGACCAACGCTCTAACCAACTGAGCTACGGGACCATTTTGTTTGTATCCTTGTTAGAAATATTAATCACGCCTGAAGATTTAGGCTTTTTTCATGCGAAGAATCTTATGAATGATATTTTCTTTTTCTTCACCTTACTCTCAAATTTTTGCTCTCGTCTCCATGTTCTTCTGGTTCTTCTATCAATTTTTTTTTTTTTTTTTCTTTTTATATTTCTCTAAGAGACTAAAGAGAGGATAACAAACGTGATGATTTTTTGATTAATTTAGAACAATTAGATGAGTGCGACAGAATTATACTAGAGCAACCTTTAAATTTTGTCGAGCAACAATTTATTTTGGATGCATCTAGGGTTGAGTTTTAGTTTTGTTTCACATGCTCTTTTCCTTGTTTCTAATTTTCAGGGCCGATCCTGAAGGCGGGCGAGATGGCCGGGCACCTGCCCTAAACCCACCGTTGGGAGAAGTCCCTAGCTTGATTTTTTATTTTTTGATGAAGTTAAAAAAATGCTTGCATATCTAAAGATTTGAAATCATGACTTCAAAATTGTTTATTAATTTTAAATCTACTTAACAATTACAACCACGTGATATACTTATCCCAATTAATAAATATATATTAGCGAATGTTGAATTAATTTATAATTAAACTTCATATAGAGCCCAAAGTTCGAATGACACTACTCCAAGGCTAATCTAATTTTTTTTTTATTAAAATAAAATAAAATAAAATTATATGTATACAAAAATTTAAAATGAGCTAATACCCAAAATTGTCATCGACTATAGTGATTTTTCTCAATTTTGTCCTAAACGATTTTGGTGCCATAAAGTAGTCCTAGACTTTTGTGTTATTGCTCAATATTGTCTTTCGTTAGGTAATCCGTTAAAATGGTGTTAAGTATAGCGATAATTTAGTAATTTCAAATGAGTTAATACTTAAAATTGTCCTCGACTATATGGGTTTTCTCAACGACTTTGATGTCATAAACTAGTCCTAGACTTTTGTGTTATTGCTCAATATTGTCCTCCGTTAGGTAATCCGTCAAAATGGTGTTAAGTACAAGGATAAATTAGTAATTTCAAATTTTGGTCTTCGAATCGTTCCTCTTGCAGGGTTTACTACAGGGATGTTTCCGTGTCGTTTGTCTGGGAGTCACAGCCAGGAACTCTCAAGCACAGATTCGCCGACGACGGCGCCGCGCTCTGCCCTCCGCTCACTCCTCCTCTCTCTTACTACTGCAATTCCAAAATGACGGCGCCCGGTGCTCCGGCCATGGAAAAAAAGGTGCTATCGGGATCCATCCTTCTACGAGCTTTGCTCACCAAGGTGAGTCTCCAGAGAACCAAATCAGCCGTCGCTGCGCCGTCACTCTCCCTCTCGCCGTCTTTCTCCTCGTTCTCCGCCACGCTCACGCCTTCCATAAGGGCATGGAATACCTAAATTTGAAATTACTAATTAACCTTGTACTTAACCCCTTTTGACATATTACCTTACGGAGGACAATATTGAGCAATAATACAAAAGTCTAGGACTAGTTTATGACACCAAAGTCGTTTAGGATAAAATTGAGAAAAACTACTATAGTCGAAGATAATTTTAGGTATTAACTCATTTGAAATTACTAAATTATCCCTATGCTTAATACCCTTTTAACGGATTACCTAACGGAGGACAATATTGAGCAATAACACAAAAGTCTGGATTACTTTATGACACCAAAGTCGTTTAAGGCAAAATTGAGAAAAACCACTATAGTCAAGGATAATTTTGGGTATTAACTCAATTTAAAATTATCATTTAATTATTTGCAATTAACCCGTACAATCCTTTAACTTAATATATTAAAGGACCTTGTTTTTATTTTGCCCAGGGCCTATAAAATGATAGAACCGGTCCAACTAATTTTCTTGGATTTTCTAATGTACTAAAAAACAATTTTGATTATATTATGGAAAAATTACACTTTTCGTCCATAAGGTATAAGGAAATAGTAGAATTCATTTCTATTTGTTTGTCATGCTCACTTCTCATCCATAAGTTATAAATGACATTGCAAATTTTGTCATTTTCTAACAAAATAGGGACAAATTTTGCAACTTAAGAACGAGAAGTGAGCACGACCTGTTAGAAAAATAATGAAATTTGCAACGTTATTTATACTTTAAGGACGATAAGTGAGCACGATTAACTAGTAAGGACTAATTTTACAATTACCCACAAAAAAGTGCAATTTTCTCCTATATTATTGATTCCAATTAAATAAAAATAATTCGCATCACTACAAGAGAAAAAATAACACAAAGAAAATAAGTTAACTACCCATCACACAAGTCATTCATCATCACCTTGGAGCCTTAGACACAAAAAATGGATCCACAATTACCTATTATCAGCCAGTGTTTGAATAAATGCAGTAAAATACATGCATGTGCATAACCAAAAAATCTCCCAACTATGATTTCACAAATAAATAAATAAATAATCAGCCCCATTAGATCTTCCATTAACAATAAGCTCCCAATTCCACTGTGTACCAAACCAAACCTTATTAAAGAATGTAAAGGATGGCAAAGAACAACAATGGCAGTGACAGATATGGCTGGGAGCTTCCCTGCAAGGTTGTAGCAGATGATGTTTTCTGTGCCCTGAAATTCAAAAATGAAAAACAAATCAACATTTGAGTACGATGAGGCGAAAAAGATGGATGTTGGGAGATTTGGGAAAGGTGGGGTTTAGTACTTCTGCTTATATGCAAGAGCTCCACAATAAAGAACATTGTCTGGTGCAGGATCTTCGGTTTTGTTGCCAGTTTCTTCAGGGTTGGTAATTCTAATATAAGTTTCCTGGCCTAGATACCATCTGTCAAGGTTTTCTGTTCTAAGGTTCCAAACACCAACGTTGTCCAGATATGCCAAGATTGCTGTCCATCCTCCAGCAAAAACCTACGGACAGTTCAAGATTAAAGTGGAGAACAATTCACAGCCAGACACCAAGATGGTTTTAATGAACCTATGAAACTTCAATACTGTTTGGCAGAGGCCGGTGAAGGGCCAAGTTTAGCACCAGATGGCTCGGGTTGGGTGGAGACTTGAAGGGTCAAGTCCAACACCCTACCTCTCAAAAATGTGGCGAGTACAAGGAAATAGAGTTGTACTTTCGTTACAAGCTATAGCTTTTGGTGTAATGGTCAACCCTTGATCCCAACAGGTGTTGGGGGAATTTATTAGGCAGAGGCTAGTGAAGGACTAAGTCCAGCACCGTGTGACTAGGGGAATTGTTGGGCGGAGGAGGGCCAAATTCAGCACCAGTGGCTAGGGGATTGTTGGGCGGAGGCCAGAAAGGCCAAGTCCAGCACCCTGCCTCTCGAAAATGTGGCTAGTATAAGGAAATAAAGTTGTACCTTCACAACAAGCTATAGCTTCTGGTGTAATGGTCAACCCTAGATCCCAAACAGGTGTGAGGGGAATTTGTTGGGTAGAGGCCAGTGAAGGTGGGTAGAGGCCAGTGAAGGACTAAGTCCAGCCCCGTGTGCCTCTAGGGGGATTGTTGGGTGGAGGAGGGCCAAATTCAGCACCAGTCGCTAGTGGATTGTTGGGCGAAGGCCGGAAGGGCCAAATCCAACCTCTAAAAAATGTGGCAGTATAAGGAAATAAAATTACGTTTTCGCTACGGGCTATAGGATTTGACGTAATAATAAGAGCTTGATCCTAACAAATATGTACAACAAACCTGTGTAGTGCAGCGAGATATTGCATCCCATCTATTATACGAACCCCGGCTATTCTCAGTCCATTCTCCATAGCCCATCCTGCATTTTTTAGTAATAACAATAGCTTATAACATGTATACATTGGTGAAATTGGAGCAATAATCAGTAAAGACAAGATGTATCTGCAAGAAAGATTATACCCAACCACGAAGAACGAATAACCATCCATGTGAAAGCTCTGGACATTGGTATCATTGTTCTGCAATATGATTTCTATGAACCCCTTGTATGCACCATTGATGATTGATTTGTCCTTCCTAGGTGGTCTGTCCACTGGATTATTTGGAAAATCAAGCTTGTACTCCCTTGGCACATGGAACAAATCTGCAAGCCTAATAGGAGTCTTTGGATGATCAAAAGATAGCCCATTATATGTAGCTCGCAGATCTCCATCAATAACGACAGGCCGGGTGCTCCTTAAAATGTAAACGTCAGTAACATTAACGGAGCCATAACGGAAAGATCCTTGAGGATTTGGACGAGCACCACTAGCAGATACATTTTGCCTGCATTGCATTTCAGAAACACCCATCTTGAGAAAATGGTTTCTTGGTGATATTTATCATTTCAGAAGGTATAATTGCAAGGGGAATGGAGGATAGTCACTTCAAGGTGGCCACAGAGGCACAGAGTATTATGTTCAAAACAAATCCTTAAAGCATAAAGGATTTGTTAGGTGAAGACCGGTGAAGGGTCAAGTCCAGTTAGGGGACTAAGGGTCAAGTCCAGCACTCTGTCTCTCGAAAATGTGGCAGTTTCGCTATAGCTATAACTTTTGAAGTAGTGGTAAACGCTTAATCCTAACAGGAGTTTTGACGGCCACTTCAAGTTATCCACAGAGTATTATGTTCAAAACAAATCCTTAAAAGCATAAAGGAGTTGTTGGGTGGAGACTGGTGAAGGGTCAAGTCCAGCACCAGGTGGAAGCGGGAAGGGCTAAGTCTAGCGTCCTGTCTCTCGAAAATAATGGCAGTATAAGAAAATAAAGTTACGCCTTCACTACTAACTATAGCTTTTGGCATAATGGTAAACGTTTGATCCTAACAGGAGTTCTGACGAACCTGATGCTCAAGGCCTGATTCATAGAATACGATTTGTCGTACACATCATTGGGTGGATCGGGGAGAGGACCAGTTGCCTTTCCTTTGGAGTTCGAATAGTGCAAAACCGCAACCCCGGTTACCTTATGCAAAACCGATTCGTTCACAAACCTAGCGCTCGCAACAATGTAGTAATCAGTACTTGCATTCTGATCCATGGTAACCAAAAAAGTGTAGGATTGCCCAACATGGATATCTAAGCTGCTGAAGTTCTGCTGTGAAGTATAAGTTCCCTCTGTTTCCACAAGAAGCAAATTATGGTTTTGAATCCGGAAGTTCAACGAGGTTGAAACTCCAACATTGTGTACACGAACTCGATACGTCTTGCCTGCAGTGTTTCACAGGGAAAAGAAACCACTTTGAACATATATACAAGATTTTCATTTTAGCAGAAGACCAGGAACAAAAAACAAGTGACTTCTTAGGAAGCTCAACCTGGATTCACATTAATTGTTTCATAATCAATGCCATCCGGAACGAGTGAAGAATTGTATCTGTAGGGTCCCTTGCCGTTAATAAGAACCCCATCAGGCATTCCCAGCTTTTTTCCATTATCAAGACCATCTCGCAAAGCCTACCATTCAGCAGTGAATCAAAAAAGTTAGATACCATGTAGTATATCTCACTCAATGCAATTCAACTCGAGACTACTACTAATACCAACCGTGTGATTTCGGGTATACCAGTCGCCAATAAAGATGACAATATCTCCATCAGGAAAACCAAAAGGGAGAGAAATTACAGGACGGTTCGTGATGATGAACGAGCCAAAACCCCCCGATGCTCTCTGCATCTTAAGCGAAGGAAAGTAGAAGAAACTCCCTATCTGGTCCTTCACCTGAAACTCGTAAGTCCAGTTCCACTTTGAAGGGATAGGGCAATTGGTTCCCAGAACACCATCTTGCCACGACGTTTGCAGCATATGAAGTCCAGGCCTGCGAAACCAAATCCATACAAAGTAAGAAATTAAATTCACTTTTTCCAGCCAATTCAACATACCCATTATCCATAGAAACATACCAGGTAACAAGAAGGTCCTCATCCAATTTGTTCCTCACATTCACCACAACATACTCATTAGTTGTAACATTAATAACAGGACCTGGAAATTTCCCATTAACTGCAATTACCTGTATCCAATCATTAAAATATGAGCATATCATATCATCTTCTGAGTGACTCAATGGCTAAGTAGACATGACCAAATGGCAGGGCGCACAAGGGATTTGACCACTTTAGGCATATCATATCAACTTGTTAGTTCACAAGAAGCCAACTCACTATAGTGCCATTATTCACCCTAATTGTACTCATTCATCCAAAATACAAATTAAACATGACCATGTAAATGAAAAACTGATGGACAAAAGTAAAACTAAATTCTTAACATTCTACTCCCAAAAATATTATCCATACTTTTAAAAGAAGAAAAAGAGAAAAGAGTCCATTCACTTTAATCAATACTAAGGTGTGATAGTGATTGCAATTTGCAAATATCATCAAACATAATTTTTTATTTCAAAGAGCATTTTCCCATAATAAACTATGCAATAGAATCTCGGCGGACTAGCTCAAGTGATAGACCTCACGACCTAAATCACCACCCGAAAGGAAAGGTAGGGCTCCCTAGGCTCCTAGATCTCTTATGTGCAGAGTCAATGACAGGACTAACTGAGAGGTGATTAGTCTTGCTTAATGTGTATATACATATATATATATATATATATATATATATATATATATATATATATATATATATATATATATACAAAATTCTATCTAAACCTCATATTCTCACTTGTGAGACGTGAAAGATTAGAGCTTTAGTGTGACCTGCTGAGGAACACCGAGCGGAGAGGCGGTGATGTACTTGTATTCCAGCTCGTAGTTGACGACTCGGTCGGCGGCGAAGCATACACTGAAAAAGAGCAAAGCTTTGCAAATGGCAACCCGAAGCAAAGCGCCAAACAACGCCATTGATATGATGAACAAAGAAAAAAAAAATTGAGAGAAGAAGAAAAGAACTGGGAGGAGAAGCTGGCAAGAACGCGAAGAGGAGAATTCAATTTCTGTTTTGTTTTGGGTAATTCATAGAATCCAAGATTTCCTTGTATATCAACGCGGCTAGTAGTCAAAACTTTCAGAATTAAGCAATTCTCCAAATATAGGAGATGATACTCATGCTATAAACAGTAGATATTACCCCCCTCCCCCGCGTCAAATTCATTTTTAAATCTTCACTTTTTGTTAAGATCCAATTCATTGGATACTAATATAGGTAAATTATAGCCATGTTTGGTAACATTGTTTATCAGTTAATAATTTTGGCTTGTTTGATCATTATTAGTTATTAACTTAGTTGACCAGTCAATATAAATGTTCATTATTAGTTATTAACATTGTAATCCCTTATTGTATCCAAAAAGCTAAAATTTAAAAAAAAAAAAAAAAAAAAAAAAAAGCTCAAAGTAGTTTTTTGAGAAAATAAATTATACCTTTAATGATCATTTTGCATGTAATCAGCTATTAGCTAACAATTAATTTATCAAATATCTCTCTACAACCTGCTAATGTTACCAGCTAGTCAAACCCATTAACTCAATTCGCTAACAACTATTTGCTAAACACTCCATATCTAGCCTACAAAGTATAGAGTATACTAAAAATGAATAGATATATCAGTAGTCCACCTTGCAAAGTAGAACATTTCTATGGTATAATAGTTGATAAATATAAATAATTGTATTGCAACATATGTAGCATGAGCCACGCTCAATTCGCCCGTGGTGCTACTTCGACGCCGGATTCTGCCTAGGTTCAGGGGAAGCTTCGTTTGGTGCTGTGCTGCCCTCTCCAGATGGCGTTTTCGTGGCGGCGGTCACCGATAGTCTTCCCCCTTGCTTCTCGCCATTAATGGCTGAGTCAATGGCTTGCAGGGAGGTTCTATCTTGGCTCAGGAACCGTGATGAGGTGTTGTCCGTTGATCTCTACACCAATTGCTCGGAGCTCCAGAGTTCGCTATTAACCACTCATATTGCTATTCGGTCATACGTCGACATCGTTGTTAATGACTGTCGAGAGACTTTATCTTTGTTTTCTCATTTTTGCATTAGTTTAGTACCAAGATCTACTAATTTACTTCCTCATACACGCTACGGCTAACATTTTGTATTGGAATATGGTCCCTCCTGCCTCTGATCTATTTCCACTTTGCTTTAATATATATGCAACTTTGCTTTAAAAAAAAAAATGTAGCATGAAAACTTGAAAAGTCGGAGAGACTCACAATGATAAGCGTTTTTAAAAATTAAATAACGATTTATGCCCATAAATTTATAGACACTTTATAAACTGTTTCAAAATCATTTTATTAAATTTTTAAAATGATTTAAAATACTTTTTCTAAAAAAAATAGTAAACAATGTAATATATTTAAACAAAAACAAAAACTTAAAAATACAATCTTATTGATTTTAATTTGTATATTTGTACTTTTTCACGCGTTTTGTTTTCTACGTTTTTTATTTTTCCTTTTCTCGTTTCTTGTTCCCGTACAATCTAGATTGTCATACAAGGTAAACATTATTATATTAGGAAATAAGCGGCGAACTTAAGAAAGAAAATACTCCACGTAACATTTTTCATTAATTATTAATTTTGTATATGCAAGGGATATATGAACCCATCTACACAATGTTAAAACAGATTTAGTAATCTCTAAATATACTATTCAACTGATACTTGCAATTTAGTACATTAATAAATTGAATAGTATATTTTAGGGCAATTGTTAAACAGACAGCTATTGCCCCTACAAAATTGAAGATTGACACAAATACTTTTAGATTTAGATAATGCAATAATAGTAACATTTGAAAACAGTATTTGTACAGAAAAATATACAATATTCAACTCTTCTTATTCATTATTTTTTTTTTTTGGGTGTAAACCACACATTGTGGTTCGGGTCTTTCTCTGTCCATTTAACGGTCCAAGTCCACCCGGTTCGCTCCGAGAGGCACAGAAGCTGGTTGAACCCAGGTTATCCCGGAATTCTCCCCCACAAAGAGAGCTCATTTGCCACTTGAGCTACCCTATTGGGTTAAAGGTAAATTAACATTTTTATTAATTGTTAATTCATTATTAATTGTAAATTAACATTTTTATCACAATTTAATTAAATTAAAGGTATACAGATCAATACATTCAATATAATCCATAATAATATATAATACACAAAAGGTAAGTAAAGTTGTCATTCAACCGTGTGTGTATATATATATATATATATATATATATATATATATATATATATATAATCTAAAAACATAATAAGTGTCAATACAAGTTATGTCCCTGATTTTTGTCCCTTTTTTATATGCTAATAAATATATACATTTTGCTTTAATTGTTGTACATTCATTTGTATTGGACAAAATCACCCTTACACCGTTAGTTTTTAATATATCTACCAATATTACCATACACCTACATCTATCATATCTTTTTCCTATTTTTAATTATCATTTTATTAAAATTATCATATAACAATTAATTTAATTATAAATTATATTTTAATTAAATATTAGTGTGAATGAAAGTTATACTCTTGATTTATGTCTGTTTTTTCCGTTAAGTTTTTTTGTACATTATGCTATAAAGGTTGTACATTAAAATATTTTGGACAAACATACCCCTACCGTACCGTTATAACTTCCGTTATCTTTTCCACTATTATTACCATGCACATGCATTCACCATATATTTTCTTATCTTCTTCATTAATAATAATATATAAACATTATATATTTGAGTTATATGTTAATTATTACATAAAATATAAATATCAAATTTATAAAAATGATTTACATTATTATTATTATTATTTAGAATAATTGTAAATTATTATTATATAAAAATATTTTTTTTTTTTGTTTTGATCAA